GTTGTGCATAAACCCTCTGAGACTTGATTAAACATCTTGTATTTCTTTTGATGCTGGGGATGGAACCCAGGGCCTCACATGTGCTGTATCGCTGAGCTGTCCCAGATGTATGTACCTTTAAAATGAGGATAATCATTAGTACTCTTGTGAGGACTGAATAAAGCCCTTGGCACATAGTAGATGCTCAGTAAGCCTCCTCTCACTCTAAGCTGGAGAAGTAACAAAAGCATTTGTTCTAAATGGCCTTTGCTTTCTGCTGTGGACAAGATATCTATTAGGATGAGGCCCTTGGTCTGCCTCCTGCCGCCTCTGTATAACCGTGTGTGGGTTATCTTTTAAGATCYGTGCCTCAGTTTCCCCACCTGTAAAGTGGAATCATTTGGAAATAACCTCATTAGAACTGTGCTTACACACAGTCCCTGGCACAGAGTGAGTGCTCCGAAATAATGAGTGCTGAGCACTGCCATCATAAAGTCCCCACTGTGTGCAAGCCCTTCCTGCTGTTTCACACAGTACATCTCATGTAATGTCCCTGCCGATCTTCACAGAGGAGCCCCTGAGATGCCAGCAGGGCATGACTGGCTACACTCAATGCAGGATCGGAGTGGCTGCGCTGGGGCGCTGGGGCCGGTCTGGGTGGCTCCAGAGTGGCACCACCCTCTCCTCTGCACTTCCTGAGGGAGGCCGGTTCCTGGATTCCTGGGACAGAGCCTAGAAAAGCATGCTGGTCGTGCTGAGCAGGGGGCTGCGCTGAGCCAGGGGGCCGCGCTGAACCAGGGGACCTTGCTGCCGTCACTGCCCCAGCCCACCCCTGTTGGGGAGAAAGAGATGAGCTAGATTCTGGTTCTTCCTCCCCCAGGGCTGTAGCCCCTACCTGCCCACACTCTGGTCCGTCCCAGGTGGTTTCCTCCCCTTGGGGTGGACAGCAGCCTCTTTCTGATGCATGGAGAGAGTCTCACAGCCACCTTCTGTGCTGGGCATCTGTCCCCAGCCCTAGTCACCAGCCTTTTTAATTTCCTCTCCTGGCCTCGGGCTACCTGTGGTTATTAACTTCCGCTGAGATCCTGATAGCTAGGCTTTCGAGGCGGGAGGTCSTCACCTGCACACACCCGTGGTGCTGGCTCCCCACCTCCATTTGTCACCCTGCCCTGGATCTGTGCCCAGGTGAGAGGCTTGGGGCCAGACAGCCCTGGGCTCCTCCCCATGTGACCCAGGGGAGGGCTTAACCTCTCTTGAGTTCCAAGATCCACAGCTGGAAGCAGATGGCCTTCTCCACTCTGCACGCTCAGACTTGAGAGGGTTTGTGCATAGAGTCAGGATGCAGTAGGAATCAGATGGTCCCCCAAACTCAGCCATGACGGCAGGCAGCGTTAACAGGGGGACTGTGGACTCCGGTGGGAAGTAGGCTGGGAATCTGCAAAGCAGGACGTAGCACCCTGTGGCTGGTAACATCGGGGAGCCAGGGATCATCACAACCCTTAGGGCTGGAAGTGACAGTGTAGGGAGGGGGTCCTGCAAGAGTCCTGGCTGAATTTCTTCCTTCCCCAGGGAAGCTGGAGACAGCTCCTTGTTCCTTTCCTTTCCTCTTCCTTTCCTCTTCCTCCTCCACATTCCGTCTCCTTCCTCTTCCTCTTACCCTCCAGTTCTCTAATCCAATTTGGGCATCTCTCAGAATCACCTGGAAGGCTTGAGAAATGCCCCACATTTTCCGGCTCAGTAGTTCTTGGGTGGGACCCAGGAATTTGCATTTCTAACCTGGTCCAGGGGAGGCGGGCGCAGCAGGACCAGGAGTGGGGCATCTGCTAGGCACCTCATCAGCCCCAGGACTCCATGGACTAGGAGCCCCTCAGGGGCAGGACCCTCTGATTCCGTCCCTGTAGCTCCCCAAAGCCCTGCCCTCTGTACCCGAGGGCTGGTGAGAGGGCCCAGCCTCCACCTCCTGTCCAAGTGAATTCAGGGGCAGTTGCACCTCCATTCGAAGCATTTGTACCTGGCCTGTGTTCACCGCTGTTCTGACCGTCCACGCAGCAGCATGGCAGTCCTGGTTGAGGGGGGCTCGTGTGCAGGGGGTTTATGAGGCACACTCTTGGGATGGATAGCAGAAAAGGAAAGTCAGCAAATGGGAGTGGGCAGGGACAGTAGACCATGAGGCCATCTCAGTGGAAGCCCTGATGTCCCTCTGAGGGAGCTGGGACTGCCTGTCCAGCTGTCCTGAGAGGGGAGAAGGTGCTGGCCCCCATCAGTGGTTGGATGTGGCCACGCTGGGAAGGAGTGAGACTGGGAGGAGGCTCTGTGCACCTGGGGGCACCCCTGACCTTCAAAGCTGCAGCCGAGTGTGGGTGGCTCAACTGTGGGGATGAGGATGTGATAATAACAATGACGCTGAGGGCAGACGTGCCACAGAACACGCCATTTAACAAACAGATGTATTCTGTGTTGGTTCTGGAGGCAGAAATCCCAGATCGAGCTGTCTGGTCGGTTCCTACTGCGGTCTGTGACCTGGGTCTGCTCTGGCCCCACTCTTTAGCATGGAGAAGGCCACCTCCTCCCTGTGTCCGCACATGGTCTTCCCAGGGTGGGTGTCTGTGTCCTGGTGCCCTCTTCTTGTGAGGACACCAGTCATTTCAGATTAAGTCCACCCTAATGACCTCATTTTACCTCAGTCACCTCGGTGAAGGCCTCATCTTCTGGGCAGCCAATTCTGAGCAACCAGGAGTTAAGAACATTTCAATATATGAATTTGGGGTTCAGGAGAAAGACTCAACTCAGCCCATCAGAGTGGGAGAGGTGACATTGCAGGATCAGATTCCCAGGGTTGGGAGAGGAGTGATAGGAAAGGAAGGGCAGGAGGTGGCATCCTAGAAAGTGGAAGTCGGGCAGGTCTTTGAAGCCTGAATGGTAAGGGGCAGCCCAAGGCCACTGACTGGATGGTGACAAGGAAGACTTTCCCTGCCTGGCCCCTCCCTTCCTCCCTGAACTCCGAGTGAGAGCTGAGGATTTGGCTGTTCCGAGGGAGCTCATTGCTTCTTTCTGGGGACGTGGAGCAGATGGGGCCTGGTGCTCTCTGCAGCCACCATAAGGGAGGACACAGGTGGGCGGCAGGGCCTGCGTCAGAGCCACTCCAGAGAGTGACAGGCAGATGGCGGCTTCTGGAGAACAGGAGGACGTTGGCAGGAGAGCGACAACCTGCCTAAGAAGGGTCAGCCATGGAAAAGGCTGGAGTGTGCGCCTTTGGGCGGGAGCCATGTTAGCAGGGGTCCCAGAGACTGCCGCCTAGGCCTGAGGCTGGGCCAGGGTGCAGAGTGGGCCGGCCTGGCAGAGGCACACATTCACCATTTATTGAGTACCTACTGTGCGCCAGAACTCGGGGTGCAGGTTACCTTAGTGCTAAAGCAGGGAGTCGCAGAGTGCTTGTCCTCACAGGGTTCAGAACCTGGCAGGGGAGCTAGGTGCGGACCACAGCACTGCAAGTCTGATCAGTGTTGGGAATGCAGCTGTTGTGGGAATGTCAGCAAGGGAATTTAACGTCCTGAAGGATGACACTCCAGCCAGGGCCAGAAAAACGGTAACAGGAAGCAGGTGAGGCTCCAGGCAGAGGTGACATTTGTCACAGGCTCATTATGTGCCGGGCTCTGCACTTAGGACCTGATGTTCCCTACCTTGTTCAGAGAGGTGATGTGATTTGCCTGAGGGAACACAGCTAGTCACTACAAGGACCAGGATATGGCAACTGGAAATGGAAAAATCTTTTTAAGTCCGAATTCCAGCTCTGCCTTTTCCTGGCTCTGTGACACTGGCTGGGCCACTTCACCTCCCTGAGCCTCGGTTTTCCCATCTGTAAAACAAGGCCCGCTCCCCAGGGTCTTGGTAGGTTTTCACACTTAGAAACACTACAGGCAAAACCCAGCCTGAGCTCTCTGAGCTGGAGGTCGGGAGCTGTTCCCGGGGCTGGTGCTGACAGGAGGGAGGGGTGGTCCAGCGGCCAGCTCTGAGTGGGCCTTGTTCCTCCGTAGCACACAGCCAGGAGTGCTCTGAGCTCTGCCCTCGTCCCAGGAGACATCCAGATGTAAGGGAGAGTGGGCAGTGAGGCCTGCACTGCCCTCAGCAGGTGTCCAGATGTGCTGTAGACTGTGTGCAGAGGCCATGGGGAAGGGACCTGGGCAGTGCTGAACTTTCCCCCTCCTCCCTGACCCCACAGCCCAGTGATTCAGAGCTGAGCAGACCTTTATGGTCTTCTTTTGACACCCTCCATCTCAAGGTGGGTATGTGGGCCCAGAGAGGACAGGGCTTTGCTCAAGTCCCATAGTGACTAGAGCAGCTTGGGATCTAGAATCCAGTGAAGCCACCACAGGGCGAACTACATGAGCAGAGGCCTATCTGCCCTTTCCCACTGCCCCCTGTGCTTGGCACATCGGGGACCTCAGGTAATATTTATTGAGCGAGCAGGTGTAGTGAGAAAGCCCACARCCTGGGGCATGGGGCCCGAGGTGGACTTCTGTCCCCTCTCTGGCCAGCTTCATCTCCCTGGGCAATTGCTTCCCCTGCGGAGCCTCCGTTTCCCACAGTGAGTTCACAAACCCATGTGGGAGGTGCCCAAGCAGAGATTTGAACCCAGGTCTACTGGATGCCAGGGCTGAGCGTCTACGCCACCCCTCCTAGTTCATTTGCCCACCTGACTCATCCAAACACCCACTCATTGAGATCTTTACTGAGCACCTACTATGTTCTGGTTATACTGCAGTGAAAACAGGAGAGGAGGTGTCTGCTCTCCTAGACCTTATATTCTGGAGTGGGGGGGTGCAGACAGTAAGCCTATAGAGAGAACAGGAAGGGCAGTGAGTACTGTGAAGGGCCCGTGGTAAGGGCCAGGATATGGGCTGCTGTGGTCAGGGAAGGAGAGGACATTTGGTGTGACGTCTGACCTGGAAAGGCTCCGGGGAGCAGCACAGCCCTCTGGGGAGCTGCCCTGGTGGCACAGGTCTCTTCCATCTACCTTGCAGGTGAAGCAGATCATGGAAGAGGCCGTCACGCGCAAGTTTGTCCACGAAGACAGCAGCCACATCATCTCCTTCTGCGGTGAGTCGGTGGCCGAGGGAGAGTGGGCAGTGAGGCCACTCATGTAAGAGTCTCACTGAGTTGCTTAGCACCTCAGGAAAGGCGTCTTCCAGCCAGAATCGCGCGTCATGGTTTGCATTGTGACTCCCAAGTTAATTTTGGATCCTGAAGGGACTCAGTTGGAGAACCTGGAAATGCAGAGTAGTGAGAGAGGCAGTTGACAGTGACTTCCGCACCCCCCTGGAGAGGTGGCTGAAGCTCTTCACGTGGGCACCACCCACACGCCTAGCCGTGGTGTCCTGGCCCCTGAGCAGTGACCTCTGTGCTGGTTCCCTGCTCTGCCATGAGCTGGTGAGGTACAAGAATAGGGTGGCTGGGGACTTTCTAAAGACAGGGAGTGAAGAGCCGCTGACACCTCCCGAGGGACCATGGCCAGCTGGCTCAGCAAAGGCACAGGCCTGGTGCTCGGAGCGTGACTCAGACTTCTCTGCTAAACCCGCTCTGCCCGCCAGGTTCCAGGATAATGGCACTGCCAGGTGCTGCTGTGCTTTGACGGTGGCTAGAGACAGGGCTTAGCGTGAGTCTGAAGTCAGCACTCAGCTCTCGGTCAGTGTGAGCCCTGAGGGTGATTCTCGTCCTTCCTGGGAACTTTGTCTTCAGTGACAGCAGTGTCTCCTGTGAAGGCTTGCTGCAGTCCCCCTCCCTATGACTTCGGCCCCAGGAGGAGCCTGAGCAAGGGCACCCGCCAGCCCACCAGCTCCATGTGCATGGTTGGGACACCACGCAGGGGCTCACAATATGCTGAGCATGCGCATCACCTGGGGGACCAGAGCCTCAGTTCACCTGCTTTTCACCTAGACAGACCTGTGTCTGCCTCTTGCTGGGTGACTTTGGGCAGGAATCAGGGATTGAACTCCGGGGCCCTTGACCACTGAGTCACATCCCAGACTGATCTGTGTTTTATTTAGAGACAGAGTCTCACTGAGTTGCTTAGCACCTCATATTTGCTGAGGCTGGTTTTGAACTTGCCATCCTCCTGCCTCAGCCTCCCGAGTCCCTGGGATGGCAGGTRTGGGCCACCACCACCCACAAAGTCTTATTTTTTAAGTGGAATATGTTTATTTAAATATGCACACATATATACACACTCAGGTACTTATGGGTGTATATATAAATATATGTATTTTCATATGTGTATATGAGTACATATGAATAAGTATATATGTATATGAGAATATTATATATCTAGGTTTATTTGAAACATTAATATTTTGTTATATTTACGTAGCTTTTTATTTTCTCCTGGACTTTTTTATTTGCAAATAAAAAGCATACATGTCCGTGTCAAGACTTGCTAACATATCTATCAGTTAAGGCCTTAGAGAAGGAGAACGTGATAAGAAGCTTAGTCATAGTTCCCTAACTCTGACCAGTTTCTGTATGAGAGAAATCAGATGGCAGCAACGGAGGCTTGAAGGGCCCATCAAGGTTTGTTTTATCCATTCTCCTTAGAAGGTTCTGTCAGAAAGGATCCGACACTGTGTACAGAGCCTGAAGGTGATCAACTTATCAGTATAAACAAAGTGGAAAGTTTTATATGTACAAGTTAAAATTAAGATCATAAAAACGGTTTCACTCAAAATATTTTAAATGCATAAGCAGAGTGGGCGGTGTGATTTGGACATTCATTCAAACAAGTACTTGCCGACTGACCCAAAGCCTCTTCCTGTCTCTCTTTGCTCTTGACCTTGGCCAAGCCATCCACCTTGCGTGGCTCACTAGGGCTCTTCATGGGTTTTGTCTCAAGAGTTAAGTGAGGTAAACCTTAACAGTCATCTGACACCCAGCAGGTGCCCAATAAGGAGTAGCTGCTGTTACATACTCACTTTTTCAGTAAGCATTAACGATGTACCTGTTGTATACTGGCATGAGGAGAAGGTGAGAAGATGGAGGGCTCCCAGAAGTACCAGAGGCCATCAGAATGGCCTGCACAGGACCAGTTTCTCAGAATGACTCCCTTCAGCCCAGAGAAGGAAAATGGTTTGCCTGAGGCCACACAGTGAGTTAATGGTAGAGACCAGGCTATATATAATCCAGGTGTCCTGAGGAGAGCTAGGAAGGACTTCCAGGGAAAATGGAAATGAGAAGATTGCTATGAATTCCTCAAAAGAGTTTCAGGTACAGCACACCTTGAACTCAGATTGGGTTTGAATCCTGACTTTTATCACTCATTTTCTGGGTGGCCTTGAGCCATTCAGTTCACCTCTCTGATCCTCAGTGTCCACATCTGAGGAGTGAGGATAGTTTTTCTTTCTTCCCTGGCCTGGCAGAGAATAAAGGAGACCCATACGTGTTAGCTGYGCTACAGACACAGTGTCGATGATGATGATATCAATATTGATATTCCGTGGCCAGGTAGAGCTCAGCAGTCCCGTGGTCCATCTTTCCCTCTCTGACAGCACTATAGCTAACATTCATAAAGCACCCACTATGTGCCTGGCTCTGCTAAGTACTCCCATGCATTCTCTCCTCTCGTAACAGCAGCTCTGAGGCCAATGCTCACACTTCTGCCCTTTCCAGGTAAGGAAGCCGAGACACCGAGGGGGTCATTGCCCAGACACACAGCTGGCTAGTGACCAGCAGAGGACTTGAGTAGAGGTGGTCCAGCCTTGAGCCATGACTGTGGGTCACCCACTAAGCTCTCTTGCTTCATTAGAGGGGGAAGTCGGCTGGGATGCAGGGCAGCCGGAGGCAGGTGATGCTGGGGACTGGCTGTCCAAGGAGCCCGTGTCTGACTGAAGCTCTGAGCCTTGCTGGGAACATGGGCAGGAGAGTCAGTGCTGCTGACTGCCATGTCCCCGCAGCCGCGGTGGAGGCCTGCATCCTGCACGGGCTGCGGCGGCGGGCAGCTGGCTTCCTGCGCAGCAACAAGATCGCGGCTCTCTTCATGAAGGTGGGCAAGAGCTTTCCGCCGGCCGAGGAGCTGAGCCGCAAAGTCCAGGACCTGGAGCAGCTGATCGAGAGCACGTAAGTGTGGGGACCAGGCTGGTCAGTCCCCTGGACAGTGACCCCCAGGCCCTTCAGGAATCCACAGCCCCTGCTACTCTTTCTGCTCCTCAGACCCGCCAGCCCCTTTCCACCTCAGGGCCTTGGCACATACTGTACCTCCAGCAGGCTCCCCGACTTGGTCTTCCATGGCTGTTTCTTATCATCATTCAGAATTCCCCAGCTCAGTCACTGGCAGCCCTCACCCCATCTTCTCCTTCACATCACCTGGTTACTTCCTTCCCATTTGTTCCTGCCATTGGGAATTAGCTATTTCTTGTTTAATTGTGAACTTGATCGTCATCTCTGCATGAGAAACGGCAGCTACATGCATGCCACCCTATTGTGTCCCCAGCATCTGGGGCAGTGTCTAGCACCTGGAACATGCCCAGGAAACAGGTGGTACTGGGCCACACCCTGTTCTCAATGCAAAGTTTCATAGAATCAACATGCTCTCATCTGCAAGGGGCAGCTGCTGAAGCCACTGGGTAAAACCCTTTTTGAGGCATCCATTGAAGGGGGAGGAGTGTCACTCCCCTGTCGTGGTGACTGGTTAATGAGCTGGGGAGGTTTATGGACTGACTGTGTCACATGGTCCCTGTTGCCATAATCACCCCCTCAAGTCCTGAATGCACAGCCAAACCCCCAACTTGGGGCCTGGTTAGGGGTGGCAAATAGGTTTTGCTCCAGTTGTGCCTGGGGCTCCCAGAGACTGCAATGAAGGACTCTGAAGCCGTGGTTGGGCATCCTGGGAAAATGTGTGTGGATTGATTGGCCATGTCTGTCACATGCAAGGGAAGGGAAGGGGAGAGATAAACATACTCTTTGTTTGTCAGTTCTCTGTTACTGTGATAAAATACCTCTCATAATTAACTTAAAAAGAGGAAAGGTTGACTTTGGCTCACAGTTTGAGAGGGTGTTTTTGATGATCAGTGAGCCCCGTTACTGGGCCTATGGTGCGATAGCTGTTCACTTTATGGCCAGGATGCAAAAAAAAAAAAAAAAAAAAAATTTAAAGGAGGAAGGAAGAGATCCACATCTCACAGGGCTGCTTGAGGGCACTCCCTAATAACCTAAAACCTTCTGCCAGGCCCTCCCACTAAAGGTTCCACCTCCTCCCTGTAGCCCCAGGCTGAGGGGGAAGACTTTGACACATGGACCTCTGGGGGACGTTTCAGATCCAAACTCCAGCGTGCCCTAAGGTTGCCATCTCTGTGTAGGCTGTACTCCTCTGAGGGAGAAACGGCCCCCTTTTTGCTCTTGCCCTTCAGGCCCTGCCTGTCCAGGGCTGCTCCATAACTGAATGGTAGGCAGAGCTCATGACTGGGCTTTGCCAGCTCCGTTTGGAATGACTTCTTAGCCACCTTTAGGTTCCTTCCAGCTCACCTGCTGAATTCCTGGCTGATTACAGATAACAGGGCCTTCTACCGTGTGGGTCTGACTTCCTAGGGAGGGATCGGACCTGCCCTTGCCAGGCCATAAGGGACAGCCATCCATTCGCTTGTGCACTCATTCATGAACACGATTACTGAGCCTCCCCCTGTACACCAGGCACTGTGCTGGGCCCTGGAGGTTCAGACACAGGGGGGCCTGTGCTTGCCACATGCTTAGTCCATATTCTTAAGATCACAGAACGGAGGGGAACACAGAAAATGGAACAGCTTAGGGGGCAGAGATCAGCTTTGTCTGGTTCCAAAGGGCTTCCTGTAGGAGATGGCCTTGCTGAGACCCAAAGGGTGAGAAGGGATCAGCCCAGGAATGGGAACAGGAGGGAAAACAGGAAGCGGCATCAGCATGTGGAAAGTTCTATAGAGCCTGGCAGCCTCAGGAGTCTTCTCGTGCTCTGTGTCATGGAGTGAGCAGGTAGAATAAGGGGCTGCTGGAGAGGTGGGAGCAGGTCATGGAGCACCCTGCCAGTCATGGGGAAGACCTTCCTTTGCAGGGACACTGGGGAGCCACTGAAGGATCTGTAGTCCAAGGCTCTTGGTCAGCATGTCATTCCAGGAGAGAGGAAAGGAGCCAGGGAGAGAGGGAGGTGTGTCAAGAGCATCTGAAACCCTCTGTTGAACCACATCTGCACACTCACTGGGGATTATTACTCTTTCAACACTTGACCCAGATGATTGGAGCAACATGGGCTCCTGTTTAGCTGTCCTTCCTTCATTTTCTAGCAAGAATGAGCATTTTCCCGTTTGCATATTGGTCCTGTGGATTTCATTTTTTGTTTCCATTCTTTCTTGTTGGTCTTGAAGGCGAAACCAGATCCAGGGCCTCCAGGAAAATGTTCGGAAGCTGCCTAAGCTGCCCAACCTGTCCCCACTCGCCATCAAGCACCTGTGGATCCGCACCGCCTTGTTTGAGAAGGTCCTGGACAAGATTGTGCATTACCTCGTGGAAAACAGCAGGTGAGGGGGAAGGCCAGATGCCCAGGTGTGCTCTGCCTCCACCTGCTGCCTGTCCTGGGAGTTGCACCCTCGAGTCTGTCTTTGTCCCATCGACAATGCAAGTGGGTTTGAAAGTGATTTTAAACAGGCCTCCTGGATGTTCCACCCTGAGCCAGGGCAGCTTTAAAAAATGAGAGGATTTGGGTGTTTAAGATCATAGGCTTCTGACTTAGGGMAGGGTGAAGGGATCCTGGGTTTCTTCCTTCTCCTGTAGAAGACTCCACTTGTGGCCTTAAGGGGYGGGGCGGGGGGGCAAGAGAGAATAACCTGTGCAGGTGTGTTCTGTTCCTCTTCCCATCTTACTGCAGAGGACTCTGAAGCTTAGAGAGGGCATTCACTTGCCTAGGGAGCCACAGCAAGGTGGCAAGTGGCTAAGCAGGGCTCCCATGCAGTCTGTCTGACCCCACACCCATGTCCTCCACTCACTGCTGGGTGACAGCAAGGGCCAAGCCAACTGGATGTAGCCCAAGCCTGCACAGCCCTACAGATGCAGTGACCTGACATGTTTCACCTCCAGCAAGTCATTTACCCTCTCTGAACCCAGCATCCCTGGGAGGCTCCTTCCAAACTTTGAATTCTGTTGGTCTGGGGGTCGCATGAGTTTTCAAGGATTTAGAAACCATGACACCATCGTAAGTCACACAAACAAACAAATGCAGAAGCATTCAGCCTGATCCTTGTCTGGATGACATCCCATAGTACCTTGCAGAGCCGAGTTTCAGGGGGCTTTTCTGAGCATCTCAGGCTGGCGTTCCCAGCATGAGGTGTCGGGGCAGGAAGGCCTGTTAGCACAGCATTGGGAGCACAGTGCAGGTAAGAGGCATTTTATTGTCTCAGAGAGAGAAGGGCAGACATAGCTGAGCCTCTCAGGACCTCCTGTCTTAGCAGAAGTCCTGGTGGAATCATCCAGCCTGCTGCTCATTACTCCTGTTGCTCAAGGGCCCCGTGTGTTCAGGTGGACACCAAACTCCACGCTGATACTGTTCATCTCATTTCTCTCAAAAGTCCTCCAGCAGCCCTGTGATATATACCGTGATAGTCCCCATTTGACACATGGGCAACCAAAGCTCTGGCAGTAATAGGGTAGTGGGGCATTGAACCTGCTTGTCAGCCATGTGTTCTCTGCTAGCCTCCATCCAAACCCACGTGTCCTTTCCTCTTCTAGTAAATACTATGAGAAGGAAGCTCTCCTGGTGGACCCTGTGGACGGTCCCATCCTTGCATCCTTGTTGGGTAAGGGGTCTGGTGCTCTGACTTCCATGTGGTCCTGGGCCTCAGGGGTGCCTCCTGATGGCCCCTGGCTCCTCTCCAGCCTCCTCCATCCAAACTGCTCACTGCCTCCTGCTCCCAGGGCCTCCTCTGGCCTCTTCTTTGCAGGACTCTGGGGCTTCCCGCCTGGCTGAAGGGGAGGGGTGGTGGAACGAGTGGCCCCTCCTGCGGGATTTGGGAGGGTGGGCTCTCTGGGGCTGCAGTTCCCAGCCCCCTGTGCTCTGCAGTGGGGCCCTGTGCCCTGGAGTACACCAAGATGAAGACCGCGGACCACTTCTGGACCGACCCCTCCGCCGACGAGCTGGTGCAGAGGCACCGCATCCATAGCTCACACCTGCGGCAGGACTCGCCCAGCAAGCGGCCAGCCCTCTGTGTGAGTGCTGTGGGCGGCGGGGCTGTGGGAGGGCCTTGGGCCAGGGGACAGGGTAGAGGTCACTCCAGGGCCACCTGTCTATCTCCTGTCACAATACCAGATCCAGAAGAGGCATTCGAGTGGAAGCATGGACGACCGGCCGTCCCTGTCTGCCCGTGACTATGTGGAGTCCCTGCACCAGAACTCCAGAGCCACCCTGCTCTACGGCAAGAACAACGTTCTGGTTCAGCCGGTGAGTGTCCACCATGGGCCAGATCTTGCTCTGAGTGTCTGCTCTAGGTTATGGAGGAGGCTTTCCCTCTGGCTCTGGGTTGTTCGTCTGTTTATTCATCCATCCATCCATCTGTCCACCCATCCTCACCGGATCTCTAGCCTGCTGTCCAGCCAGTCAGCTCTCTTCCATTCTCTCTGGGCCTCCTTCTGTCCAGGCTCCACCCACCATTTGTCCATCCATCTGTTTATATTTTTACCCACCCACCCATCTATTTAACCACCTTTGCACCCACCCATTCACCTGTCCTAATACTGAGGCCTGTACAGGTGAATTAGGGGACAGAATCATGATTTGAATTCATGCCAACGGGTGCCACTCATCAGTCACCTTCTATGCCCCAGAGGCTGGCCAGGCTCCAGGGGTGCAGGGACAGTGGGGCATATTCAGCCCCTGCCCTAGTGCATTGTCTCCTTTGGCTGTACCCTCTCCAGGGCCATTGGGTCACAGGGTCAGCATAGTGTCTGGGCTCTGCTGGGAGGAAGCTCTGTGAGTCATCAGCCACCCGAGATGTGTGGGTGCAGTTTCAGTCAATCACTGGGTGACCCTGGGCAACTCCTCGTCTTAGCCACAGTATCTGCTCTCTGTGGGCACAAACCTTGTTTGCTCAAGTCTAAGAAGCCATGATTTTAAGATGTGCCTTTTTTTCTAAAATGCTATTTAAATTACACATGGGACTTTTTCACTACACAATTTCACCTTACCCATTTGAATCAGGTCTTTGAGACGTAACCAGATATAGGTTTTTTYGCTTGTCTTTTAATCATACATTGCTCTTTCATACACACAAGAGAAAATGTAATTAAAATACATTAGCTAAGATATTCCTAAAGCCTCCGCAGTCCAGAGTTTAATCTTCTATATCACTTTGGCTAAGAATCATTAATGCCCTAGTTTTTCCACATGCTTCTCTGTTCTACTATTACCCATGGGCCAAATGTGGTCTTCCACCTGTTTTTATAAATGGAGTTTTATTGAGACCCAGCCATAACCATTAGTTTGTGTGTTATCTAGCTCAGCTTTCAGGCTATGGTGGCAGAGTTAGGTTGTAGCCGAGCCTGTATGGCTCACAAAGCCAAATGTTTCTTTACACAAAAAATGTGGTGCCCCCTGACCCACAAGCCCAGAAAGTGCAGCATTTCTTCAGGAATATGCATCCTCATCTCTGAGATGGGTCTGACRTCCTGTGAAGCACTCACTTGCTGTTTTACAAGGGCATCTGGATTCACAGGCTTCCCTGCAGGGATGAATAATGTGCCTGCTTTGCCAATATCACGTTAGTAGTCTGCGGCTCTGTTCCAGCCTTTCTATGTCACAGTAACTTTTTTCAATTCAAAGCTGAATCACAAGCTAATCTCTCTGAAGGGATTTAAAATAACACCTGTCCTGCTCATGCAAAATAATAGCCATGCACAAAACTCAATTGAAACGAGGACAGGCTGAACAGCTCTGACTGAGTTTTCGTGAGTTCAGGCAGTCACCTCTGCGTCATGGTTGTGAGTTCTCATCAAGGGTAATACATGTCCCCATTTAGGGAGGTTAAAATGTGAAAGGAACAGAATGTGCATCTTGGGATTGATGGAAGGCTGTGGTGGTGCTCCTCCATGGGGCACGGGGCTCAGCGGAGCCTGTGTGTGAGGACTGAGCCGTACTCCCTAGGCTCAGTAAACTGCACTTGGTGCTCAGTAAATGGTGCTGGGTCTCTGCCTGTCRTTGAGGTGGATTGGGTGCAGGGACTGCCTCCTTCATGTCTGAGGGATGTTGCACATCCCTCCTACTTGGCATAAAATAAAGCAGGTGAGAAGTCCTATGGGGAGTTAGGAAGGTGGAGGATCTGACCGCTGGGCCAGAGCATGCTGGGGACACTGAAGGAGCAGGTTGCTGGGGAATGGGCCACAAAACTCAGCTGCCACCTCTGCCTCCCTTAAGATTGGCCCAGATAAATGCCATTTTGAAAAGGGACAGAGCCCCCTTCCTAGTTCTAAAGACCCCTAGGCCTGAGAGGGAGAGTGTGATGGTGGGCGGCTTTCACAGCTGTACTTGGTAGTACTGCCCCACCTACAGGTTGGCTGCAGACAGCTTTGCTGAGCGCGGCCACCCAAAGAGGCTCAGGAGGACTTCAGCTTCTCAGATAACCTGCTCTGCACCCCAGAGTCTAACGGGTCAGGGCCTTTAGCCATATGTACTCCAACACCATGACCAGTCCTAAGCCCTTGTCTCTCTGCAGAGGGATGACATGGAGGCTGTACCTGGGTACCTGTCCCTGCACCAGACAGCTGACATTATGACCTTGAAGTGGACACCCAACCAACTGATGAACGGGTCCATGGGGGACCTGGACTATGAGAAGAGGTAGGTTGCTGGGTCCTCGCTGCACCCCGAGTCCATCCCCTCTCCTGGGCCCCACCTGGGAGCGGAGATGTGCACCCTGCCCTGTCTGCCCCTCCGCCTGGTTGTTATGGTGACCAGGCCCAGCCTCCCTGCAACTGTAGCCTTAGGGGCAACTCAGAGACTCAGGAAGATGAAGAAACCAAGGGAAGAGTGTTGGGGGTGGGGGTAGCCATTGGCTTGAACACCACTCAGAGAGGGAAGTCTACAAAGACCACGGAGCCTGCAAACACAGGATAGTGGCCAGCCTCGGCCCACCCTTCCCGTCACGTCCTAACAGGGGACTGGCGTTGTTACTGGGTTTCTGGTCCCTGGAGCTGTCTCTTCTTTGGTACCCATGATATATGCAACTCCGCAATGGCTTTGGAGTCATACTGGGAAGAACCACCAGACTGGGGCTCCCTCCTGCAATACCTGTGTTCTCGCCAAACCAGGGACAGCTTCAGGGAGAACAGAGGACAGCCATGGGTCTGAGGTGGCCCACCTGTCATTCCAGCTGCTGATGGGGAGAAGCAGCGATTGGGCTGTTCTGAATCCATGTCAAATTCTCTCTTTCTTTAAGAATTTAAGCTTGATTTTTTTTTTAATTTTTTTTTTTATGTGGCACCGAGGATCAAACCCAGTGCCTCACCCATGCTAGACAAGCACTCTGCCATGTTTTTTCTTTTGCATTTTCTTAAAAAACATTTTTACAGTCAAGAATTTTTAACTTAAAAATAGTCATGGCACAGGTTCCCATGCCCCAGCCCTCTTGGCCGTTAACCATCCCCTACCTGGACATGTTTGAGAAGCTTGCAGATGACCTGTGATTTCATATGCATTTTAAAATGTAGTGTTAAAAAAAATAAGGGCTCATTTCAAGAAACATGGCCAAAACACTATTATTGAGTTCTACTTAATATGAAGCTCAGTGGGGTCCATATTAGATCTTGGGGTGATTCATAGCATTTTCTTAGCTGTTCACTTCTTGCTCTCTTTTTCCAGCCATCACCTCCTCTTGCACAACCATGGTCATAACTCCCCAGCTGGGCTTCTTAGTGTTAGAGAAGAAATATCCCCAGGAGGCGGCTACTCAGGCTCTGGAGTCAGACTGGGCTTGCCCCTGTCCCTGCCCTGCTATGTGGAGCAGTGAAGTGGGAGAACCTCTGTACCCTTTGGCAGGTTCTTCGGTTCAGAGGCCCCAGCACCTCCATGCCTAGGGATCTACCCAGGAGCATGATAACTTACCTACACAAAAGCTTATACACAAATGTCCACCATAGCGTTGTTCCTAATAGCTCAGCTGGAAGCAGCAATTCAGATATATTTTTTTTAATTTTTTAGTTGTAGTTGGACACAATACCTTTATTTTATTTACTTTTATGTGGTGCTGAAGATCGAACCCAGGGCCTGGCACGTGCTAGGCGAGTGCTCTACCGCTGAGCCACGACCCCAGCCCCTCAGATATAATTTTGATCACTGGGTTTCAAGGGTTCTTCTTGGGTTTTGGGGCCATCCTGCACCAGTCACTGTCACTGGACAATGGAGCGTGCTGATTGGCCAGGCCTGGGTCAGGTGATCATTGCTGGAGTCCTGGGGTAGAGAGTCGTGGATTCATCCTACCTGGGCCACATGGGCCGGGGAGGACGCTTCCCTCAGAAACTGAGGCTCTGGAACCAAAAGAAGAGGAGAAAGGCTGGGCAGGCTGGGACACCAAAGTTGGGGACAAGGGAGGACCTCAGGAGTGGTCCTCTGGCTTCCAAAGCCCCTGCCCACCATAAGGTAGGTGGCCTTCCTACAAGCCTCACCTCTCTCCCTTCCAGTGTCTACTGGGACTACGCCATGACCATACGCTTGGAGGAGATTGTCTATCTGCACTGTCACCAGCAAGGTAGGGACCACAGGAGATCACGGGACCGGCTGGTGTTCCTCTTGGATGCCCTGCTGCCTCTAGCTCTGATTGTTCATTAGCCTCATGAGACAATGTGGTGGACATCCTGTTACCTGTGCAACTTCAAGCAAGTGGCTGTACCTCTCTGAGCCTGGGTTTTCCCTCTATAAAATGGCAATGCCTATTATTTCATTGTCACAACAACCCAGTGAGAGGTTTACTCCCATTTTAGAGGTGAAAAAGCCACCTGACACAAAGCCACACACCCTGTAAGCTCAAGAGCCTGGACTCAAACCAGATCTTTGTGACTCCAAAGTCAGTGCTCCTCAGTGGTTCTTTAAAGTCAGAAGAACCTACAGTCMAAAGAGGCAGATGGCCGTCCTGCTTTAGGAAGTGAGTGGCCTGTGTCTCACCGAGGTGTGAGACACTGCGGCTCAACTCCTAAGATGGACCTGGGTCCAGATCTGTGACCTTGAGGCAAAGTAACTTACCCTCTTGGAGGCTGGGTTTCATTTGTAAAGTAGTAGATCGGCCTCATGGGGATATTGTGAGTGTTGGACAAGACAGTTCTCGTAGGTATTGTGCTGGTGCACAGGAAATGTCCCTCACACTAGCCAGAGTCACCTAGGGGCCTGAGAGGGGTGAAATCTGGACACCCCGTGCAACAGTGAGCCAGGTGGATTTGCAGCAGATTCTGGAGGAGCGTGGGTGTTTCAGGGCATCTTTCCTTTGGCAGGTAACTTTAGGGAGGCCACCACACTGTTCCTGACCTTGTCCTGTAGCTCCCCATCCAGGTGGATGGTAGGTGGGATGGGTGGGACACAGGAGAGGTGAAACCTGCCCTGACCTTTTGCCCAGGCCTGGCCCAGAGCCTCAGATGCTTGGTCTGGCTGGGCACCTCTGGGGACATGTATTTGCAGAGTTGGGGGCTTGTCACCATGCCTCATAGTGGGTCTTCTCTGCTGGTCATGATGGCAGTGGACAGCGGCGGGACAGTGGTGCTGGTCAGCCAGGATGGGATCCAGAGGCCGCCCTTCCGCTTCCCCAAGGGTGGGCACCTCCTGCAGTTCCTCTCGTGCCTGGAGAATGGGCTGCTTCCCCACGGGCAGCTGGACCCGCCTCTCTGGTCCCAGAGGGGAAAGGTGAGCGGCCTTAGGGGTGTGGGTCCTTATGTGACTTCGCGGGCTGGTGCACGCCCCACCGAGACCCTTAGGCTGTGCAGGTTTGAGGACAGCTGTGTCCTTTCACTGGGACATGTCCTTCCAGGGCAAAGTGTTTCCCAAGCTGCGCAAGAGAAGCCCTCAGGGTTCCTCAGAGTCCACGTCTTCAGACAAGGAGGATGAGGAGGCCACAGATTATGTGTTCCGGATCATCTACCCCGGCTCGCAGTCTGAATTTGGTAAGCCACCCAGCCCGGCCCAGGGGTCCACCTGCCACCTGAACCTGGGAACAGCCCCAGGCATTTGGAACAAGAAGACAAGGGGTCAGGATTCTGGGGCTGGCTGGGGACCTGGGACCTGGAAGTCAGTATCTTGCTAGCCTCAGCTCCCTCCACCTGGCTCACAGAGATGCCACTAGACAGGAAGCAACACGGGGTAGTGACAGTGGCATGGGCTCTAGAATCCAAGCTGCACCTAGCAAGTCACTTCACCCCGCGTGCCTCCGTGTCCTCAGCTGTAAGTGGGGCTGTTTGCAGCACCTGTCTCATAGGGTTGCTGGGAGAAGGGACCTGGACAGGGCCTTCGGCACCTAAAGATGACTCGAATGTTAGCTGCCCTCCTGTCCGCCTTGCGATGTTCACTTCAAGTCAAAACTTCCGTGACATGAGGAGGTGATGAGAGAGCAGCGTGTTGGGGGGGAGGGTGTCTTGCCCGTGGTAACCGTGGTGAGCGGTGGTGAGAACGGCAGTGGGGAGGCGAGCAGCAGCACTGTCACCAGATCGCAGCAGATGCCCTGCAGTCCGTATAGTGACTGCTATGAGGAGATGCTCTGCCCAGGGCGGCTCACCATGATGGGGCGGGGCCATGCSAACACTGTGAATGAATCTGCACAGCACTCAGAAGGGGCCTGGCACTTAGGCGGCCCTCTCTGGTGTCTGTTAAAGTAGTTCTGAGTTACAGCTTCTTTTCTGTTAGGCTCGTTTGTTTAGACCACTGCAGGCATGTTGATCCCATTTGAGGGACAATGGCCCTGAGCCTCCCTTTGCATAAGCGACCCTGTGCTGAGCCATGAGAGGCTCTTCGGAAAGCAGACAGATGTCCTCCCTGGCAGGGGCCTCATGCAGCCAGGCCCCTTACTTTCCTGGCTCTCCTCCTTGGCCAAGCACCACTGGGCCTGGGGCAGGCCTGGCGGTCAGGTATCGTGTCTCTTGCATTAGCCTGTGCTCCGCCCCCTGCCCCCCCCCCCGGCCGCCATGATGTTCTTTCAAAGCTCAGCAAAGCTTTGTTCCCACCTCACCCAGGTGTCCATGGCCACTGCTGCCCAGCATTAGGCCTCCCCGTGGGAGCAGATCTCTCAGGTAGCACTTGGCGCACCCCAAGGCTGTGCTGGCCCAGTGCTGAGAGCAGAATCCCCCAGGATGGGGAGCTGGCTTCTKTTCCCTTTCCCAAGAACCTGGGCTCCATCCTGAAGACTGACAACATTAGGACACCCCCTGGTGAGCCTTGTATCAGAGAGCCCAGATCCCTGGGGCTCTTTCCAGGAAACGCTTCCTGCGGATTCTTACCCAACAAATAATTTGCCTACTCCTGCCAGGAACCAGGCTGGTGCTGGATGCTTATTTGGGGGATGTTTGTGCTGAATCCTGTTGGGGATCATGTGGCCAGGAACAGAGGCCAGCCCAGCTCACCCACAGTCCTGGGCACCTCCCATTCTGGGCCTATGGTTTAACTGCCAGCTCCCATGGAGGTGTCTGCTTGGTGGAAAGGCTTCTCTGCCACCAGGCTCCCTTCTCCATGAGCGAGGCACGTTGGAAGTGCCCTGGAGCCTCCTCTGGCCCATGGCTGACGGGATTGGTTTGCAGATCCCAGCTCCCTCGGCCCTCGGGTGAGCAAGCTCTGAAATGTGCATGCTTTGCACAGCCCTCTGGTCCCCAAGGCCATCGGGCACAGTTGCCCCTCGTGGAAACCTGCTTGGTCATACCCTCCACTCCAGGCCTTTCCTGGCCTGTCTCGCTCACCTCTCTGCTACCCGAGCTTCTTAGGAGCACCTCCCAGATAATCGACTTGGGGTCCCTGCCTACCTTTGAGGAATCCTGATGACGCAGTGTATGTGGGACAGGGCCCCTCCACCTTGGCTCTGCTGAGGTGAGGCTGGAAGTACCCTTCACAGGACGGGCTTGTCCTGTGCATGGAGGATGCTGGCCACATCCCTGGGCTCAGACCCTGGATGCCAAGTAGCAAAGCTATCATGTTCCTCCAAGTTGTGACAACAAGAAATGTCTCCAGACATTGCCATGTGTCCTCTCGGTGGGCAGATGGGTTGCAAAATTGCCCCTGCTTGAGAACCACTGGTTTCCAGAAAAGAAACCATCACTGGATACTGCTCTGCCACTGCAGGACACTCACGGGGTCCTTCCTGTTCAGGTCTCCCTTCCTTGCCTGGAGGACAGGGTGACAACACTGCCCCCCACCCCGGGTCAAATTCTGAGGGGTCAGCTCGATGATTTGTGAAACACCTTTCACCAGATGCAGGCCCATTCCTTAGTGGATGCTCAGGTCACAATCGCAGGTCTCCTGTACTGAGTGCCACACGTGCCAGGCCCACTTCTGCACTCGCTGTGTCTTAATTCACCTCACCCCCAGCGTAGCTCTCCCGAGCAGGATGTCATCACCATTCCCTGTTGTGCAGAGGAGAAAACTGAGGCACAGAAAGGTAAATCAACTGATCCAAGGTCACTCAGCTGGTTTGGGGCACAGCTGGGCTTTGCACACAGGTGCCTCYAGCACCTGTGCCTCTAAGCGCCACTCCATGCCTATGGTCCTGATGGTGGGGGAGAGGGCAAAGTACTTTCACCTTCTTCAACCTTGAGATCAGAGGCAGCCCTCAAAATGGTGACCCCACCCCCATCCTTGGTTGAAATTCTCAGGGGCCTGAGCCACACAGCGTTACCAGTTTAGAAAAATCAGAAATCAACACACCTCTTCCCGTGGGCCACATTTTGCAAATAATGTTTTATTGGAACACGGCCATATTCGTTCATTCACATATGGTCTGTGGTCACTTTCATGCCACAACAGCAAGGTTCAATAATTGTGACAGAGCTCAGATGGCCCCAGGCCAAAATTATATATTATCTGTCTCTTTGTGGAGAAACCATGCAGATGTTTGCCTTAAAGAGGAAGACGATTACTTCAACATGCGGGAGGGAAGACGTGGCTTAGCTGCTTCTACACTGCCTCCCCCTGTCATATGCTCCTGTCCCCACCACTGGATCTCTGGCCTGTCTTTATGCACAGAGCGGCAAAGACCAGCACTACAATGCAGACAGGTCACRGTCGGATCCTGGCCTTCCAGGCTCCTCTCTTGCTGAGGTTGTCTGTGCTGCGGTGGCCACAAGGCACATGTGCCAACTGAGCACTCGGAAGGTGTGACTGGTGAAGTTGAGGCATGAGGCGTGCTGTGGGTGCAAAACACGCCCCAGATTTTGAAGACTTTATGTGAAAAAAAGAGAATGTGGATTTTTGCATGAATAATTTTATATTGATTATATGTTGAAAGGATAACATTTTGGAAATGTTGGGTTGAAATTATTGGGACTGTTTTCACCTGTTTAATGTGGCTACTGGGCAGCTTTGAATTCTATGCATGGCTCCTCCATATTCCCTCCGACAGCGCTGGCCTGGGGCAGACTTCTCAACCTCAGCACTGTTGGCCTGGGGAGTCSAATAATTCTTTTGATTGTGAGGCTGTCTTGTGTGTTGGGGGGTGTTGCACAGTGCCCCTGGCCTCCAGCCACTAGGTGCCCAGAGCATTGAGCTTTTCTGCAAGTGTTGACAGCTGAAGTCTCAAGAGTCTCCAGAACCGCCCCGTTGAGAGCCGATGGGTGGGGAGACAGGAGCCAGTGGGAAACAGCAGTGGGGGTTGGCATCAGAGCTTAGAGTCAGGCTCCTAGATTGGAATTCAGTGCACTAGCTGGAGAGCCTTGGGCATGTCMCTCTATGTCCCTCAGTTTCCAAGTCTGTTAAAGAGGATGAGGGTACCTGCGCTCAGTGAGAGACCACTGTCATTAGAGGAAGGAGAAGGGGGACTTCAGTCAAAACGTCCAGCTTTGCCAGTCACTCCTTGATGGGTCTTAGGGTGACAAAATCCTGTCATCATTCAGACCCTCAACAGGGGAGAGCCGAGATAGGAGGAGTTGCCCAGGAGCCATGTGGAAAGTGTGCACATCTCTGTTCCTCAGTTACTTCTGCCAAATGAGAAAACAAATGCCCCCCTTAGAGGTTCACTGTGACCGTAAGACAGAGCACGGCCCAGCCCATCACCCACTCAGTATGCATGGGGGGGGCAGCTGTGGAGAGCAGGGCAGGGACGGTTCGAGCCCCAAAGCACTGGTTCTCGTGGCCATCTCCTGCCCCACCCCACACCTCGCCTTCACTAGTGCTTTCTGTTTTGTTTCAAGCTGCCCCCGGCCTCTTGGCCAGCGCTTGCCCCATCTCTGTGGGCCCCGCCTGGATGATGATTGCTGCTGGTCAGTCCACGCTGGTAGTGGCCAGGGGGAGTCGGTGGGCACGAGCCAGATGGAATACCACCCTCCCCACACCAGGCCTGAAGGAGCAGCCCCCCTGTAATGTCTGGGTTCCCCACTTCCCCCAGGGCTGGGTCCCAGCCACCTCTGCCATGTTGTCATTTGAGTCTTGGTCCAAGGGAGATGGAAGGAAGGTGCAAATCGATGCCCCAGCTGTCTACCTGAAACAGACAGCTGGCAGCCCTGTGGGTCCACTGGTGAAGTCTGCCAGGGTGAGGGGCTGGGATGGAGCCAGGATTGTCCCCACGTGGGCTGAGCCAATCAGTGCTTCCCTGAGACTGGCGAGGAACTGGGGATGTTTTTCTAGAACAGACTACAGGAATCACTGGCCTCTCTTGGCCGTCTCATTGGTGAGTCTGCATGGGGCAGAAGAGTGTGATGCGCCACTTTGGGTGGTTGCAAGAACCATGTTCTGTGGGCAGCTTCCTTCTCTGTCCGTGGGCAGAGGCAGACCCTGCTGGCTGCCGAGGTCTGATGACCAGTGGGGTCAGGCCCCCAGCTCTCTCTCCCCATAAAGCTCTAGGGGAGAGCTGAGATAGGATGAGTTGCCCAGGAGCCATGGCGAATGGGGAAATGTGCACCTCTTTGAGTTCCTGGAACGAGAATAAGAAAACCATAACCCAAGGGCCAAATCCAGCCTCATTCTGAACATCTCTGAGCTGAGGATGGTTTTTATTTGTTTCAATGATTGAAAGAATCAAAAGAGTGATATTTTATGACTTGTGAAAATGATGCAAAGCTCACATTTCAGTGTCCATCAACAAAGTTGCCTTGGAGCACACCCGGGCCCCTCTGTTGACATTACAAAATGCATGGCGACTTTTACACTGTGAGAGCAGAGTGTTGAGGACACAGACCAGATGGCTCACAAGCCTAAAATACTTCCCACCCCGCAGACTGTTCAAAGCCAGACTCAGCAACAGCAAGGCCCTGAGCAACTTGGCAAGATCTTGTCTCAAAAAATGAAAAGGGCTGGRGGTGATGTTCAGTGGCTAAGCACCCTGGTACAAAAAAAAATAGATCTGTCTCCAGGGGGTTAATTCAGAGCAGCTTTCTGGCTCAGGACCACGGACAGCACCCGCATGGCCTCCCCATCCACTGCTCTCTTGTCCTGAGTCAGGCTCCCTCCTATCTGACCACCAGGAGCTCCCCAGGAGGCCCCTCTCTGGGGACTCAAGCCCTTGGCCTTCATCAGAAGCACCCAGCAGGCTCCCCTGCTTCCCCTCAGTGTCCTGTGGGCACAGCTGAATGACAACATGGTGAGGCGTGGYCCCCTGTTTAGGTGGCTCTGGTCTCTGTTCTCTTCTTCTCTGGCCATCATCTGGGGCCAGCTCTGCCCGTCTCCTGGGGCCTCCAGGTCTTGGTGGTGGCTTTCATTGGATCAGGGGGCTCAGGGGCCTCAGTTGGACTGTGATCTGGATCGTTCTTTCCCGGTCTCTTTCAGGGCCTTTCCCTTTCTCTGTGCCAGCCTGGAGGTTGCGGGGAGCTGCTCKCTGTGGGGAGGTTTCTGTGGCCTACACAGACTTAACCAGGGCTCTTCCTTTGCCCCTTCTTCTACACCCCACAGTCCCCCAGGATCTGATGGATGTCTCCGTGAACAACCTCCCATCCCTATGGCAACCCAGCCCCCGGAAATCCTCCTGCTCGTCCTGTTCACAGAGTGGCTCAGCTGGTGGCAGCTCAACCAATGGCTGCAACCATGAGAGGTAGGAGGGGCTCGCGCTGTGGTGGGGAGAGGCTGAAGGGTTACCCAGAGCTTGGTGGATGCACTGAATCTGGAAGAGGGAACACGGGCTGTGGAGTCAACCAGAGCTGGATTAAATGCTGGCCCTGGTGTAGTTCTAGCTGTGGGAAGTCAYTCACGTGGTTCAGTCAGGATAAGCAAGATCGAGCCACAGGAACAAATACCCCTGAACCCTGAGTGTAACTTACAGCAGACATTTTATCCTGCATTGTGTGTCCCTCATGGTCAGCCAGGAACTCAGCTCTCTGCATATTAAAGGGCAGCACTGCTGRATGTTGCCAGTCCCAGGTGACAGGCAATGGTAGCTCTGGCAGGCCTTGAATCAACAGTAAGTGTCCCACCAAAAATGATTACTTATAATTTCCTCTTCCAACTGTTGGCCCCACCCACAGGAAACCAGGAAGTACAGCCCTACCAAGTGCCTGGAAGGAAGAAACCAAAAATATCACTTAAAGACAAATGCCTCCTCAGTTTGACCCTCCACAAAATTCTTCCCTTATGTGATTATGAGGAACAAATAGAATAATGGTTTAAGGTGGCCAGCACACAGAAGCTGGCATGTGGCAGTGTTCAGTAAATGACACTCACTATTTTCTTGTTCTAAGTTAAAGCTCAAGTTCACCTCTGTCCTTACCCACAGAGCTCTTCTCTCTTTAGAACTACTCGGCCATTCATGAGATTGGTCTAGTTTCCCACTGGCCCCACTTGGTCTGGCCAGRGAGACTCCCTTCCTCCGTCCTTGCTGGCCTTCTTCCCTGTGGTGTCCAGTCTTCAGCCCGTCACAGTGTGAGGGAATGGGACTCGAGGGCTGGGGGCCAGCGTCAGATCTTCAAAGCCCCCTCACCCCCGGCTTTCCAGTCTGTGACCAGCAGCCGCACCTGGGCAGATTCTCAGCTTGTTATCCCAAACCCACTGAATCAGAACCTGTATTTAACACCTCTAAGACCACTTGTCGGCATGTAAGGGTCAGAAGCCCTGATACAACTGGAGAGTCTCAAACTTTAATGTGCCTCAGTCACCTGGGGCGGTAGCAACACGTACGGGTTCTAGGACTTCTTCCTAGACATCCTGATTGAGGACTCTGCAGGGCCCAGGAATTCACATGTCAGAGAAACCCCGAGTGTCTCGGGCTGGACTGTCACCTCCATGGGGCATTGAGAAATGCCGCTTTCCCCAACACACACTCTGATAGCATCTGCTTGCATGTCYGTAGCGGTGGGGAGCTCACTGCCTGCTGTGGGACACTGGTCAGTGTGGTGCTGTTCTCCTGCAACCTGACCAAGTCAGCCTCGCCACCCTGAGGGCACAAAGAGGACATTTTCCCAGGTGCATAGCTGGAGATGGAGCTGCGTTTCCTCTCCAGCCTCCCTGGGTTTTTCCGGGTGTCCCCTGGGATGTCCTGAGTACATACACGGCACAGTTCTGCTCTGTGCTCTGCAGGAGTGTACCGCACTCCTTTGGCAGTTCTGTGGTTTTCAGCAATGCTGGGAGTGAGGGTTTACTCCCCCCTCAGCCAAAACAGCACCCAGAAGTGACCACACAAGGGGAAGCCGGGTGGCATCACCTGCTTTGTGGTCATCCCCACTGAATCCCAGTGTAGCTCAGTTTGGGTCACTTGAAGAAAGTGACAGAAACCCTCTTCAAACCAATTGAAGAAGAAAGTAAAAGTGTTGGCATAACTAAGGTTCAAGGCAAGCGGCCTCAGGCCTGGCCAAGTGCAGGTGCCCACTGCAGGAAACCCGTCTGCGTCTCAGGCGTCACCTCTGCGGGCCTCTATGCTAGTACCACACTCTAGTCTCAGGCAGGGAGATAAAAATACAGCGACTATTTCCAACAACAAACAGTCCCAAGACTGATTCTCATTGGCCCATGTGACCATCTCTGAGCCAATCACTGTGACTTCAGCCTGGGTCCCGTACTAGGTAGAGTCCTTTGTCCCATCCAGACCACAGGGACAGAGGCTTAGGGGAGAGGTGATACCTCAGAGGAAATCTGGGGTTCTGATAAGAAGGGTGATGCAGCTGTATGGAAATCACGGGAGGCCACTCTTGGGTCCCCTGAGAGAGTGGGTCGTGGTCCTCTTCAGCAAACTTGGGCCACGGGCACCTCGTGTGAGCATCTTCCTTCCCCCCCACCCCCGCAGGGCTCCTCTGAAGCTGCTCTGTGACAACATGAAGTACCAGATCCTCTCCAGAGCCTTTTATGGATGTACGTATAGCTCTTCGTTGCTGGTGTGGTCTCCAAGGAGCATGTATTGAGTGCCTACTGTATGCCAGAAATACCAGGGGACAGAACCTGGCTCTGGAGTTTGAACATCCCTATCTTCTAGATATCTGGTTTCAGGCGCAGTTTGCTCATCTACAGATCAGGGATAAATTTTATCTCTGGGTCCTAAGAGAAGGCAGTGGACTGGGGACCCTGGGAGAGGAGGCCAGATCTGGTCACCATTGCATTCTAAGGTCCCACCCGGAGGGTGTGTCAGGATGGAATGAGAAGCGTGTGTAAAGTCTTTGGCCTCTAGTCTTGCATGTTGTAGGTGCTCAGTAGATGTCAGTTCCACTCCACAGCAGAAGAGAAAGGTGACCTGATCCCATCACCCAAGCTTAAAAATTAAAACTAATAACACAAATATTCTGGTTATTCCCATTAATTAGACAAGGCACAGAGAGGCAAAGTGATTTGTCTAGGGTCACACAGCTAACAAGCTTAGTTTTTCTCTCTGTCTTGTTTCTCAGCACACTTTATTTCCCAAACCTCATAGCCTAACTGGGGGAGATCAAGCACGCATTTTTAGGGATTCTAGAGGAGTTTTAATTACACCCTGCATGGGCCTGCATGTTGATGTTGGAAAACAGTTTCCTTATCAACTAGTTTGGGAAATGTTGAAGTTAAACAATTTTCTGTATTCTTTGGGACTATCCCTATCACACTCAAGAAATTGAGGCCATGGGAGAGTAAGAGGAACATCCCTCAAATGTATTTGGCCACAGAAACCTGGATGGCTCATCATCTCCAAGTGTCCAGGGGACAGGGAGTGGCTGAGGTTCTTGCCTGTCCTGTGACCACCATCCCCAGTGCCTGATGCAGAGCGTGGCGTGGAGTGGGCGCTGTGCAGGTGTTTATTAGACCCAAGTGCAGAATCTTCCTGGAGGAAGGGCAGGGTTGAGATGAGTCTGAAACGAGGTGATCATATGACAATATGGCGCATCCTTGATGCCTGTTGAGAGCCCAGATTCAAATGAGGAGGCCTGGGACAAATCCCAACCCTGAACTTCCTGGAGAGATGGGTTAATGATGTAACCAGTGTGTGCCTCAGTTTGCCCATCTATAAAATGAGGAAGGTGCCAATACCTGCTTCCTGGGGTCGTGGTGAGAAATAGCTTTGGAAACTCAGGGAACAGCCCCTGGATGTCCGTGCTGTATAGCGTCATGTGCTGTGTGAGTGTTGGACATTCTGTGGCCACCACCATCATTGTACCTTCCTGCTGTTGGTGGGGGTGAATCCTCAGGCTCTAGAAGGTCAGTTTCTCTCTGATGAGCTGCTGGACAGAGCCAGGAGGAAGGGACGCCATCAGCAAAGGGCATGAGCTAGGGTCTGGGGCTAGTGCTCAGTTGGTAGAGTGCTTGCCTTGCATGCACAGGGCCCTGGGTTCAATCCCCAGCACCAAAAAAAAAAAAAGGGCATGAGCTGGCACCCTTGGGGGCCCAGGTTACAGCAGACTAGGGGTGGCAAACATACCTTTAAGGTGACAGGTCCCTCTTCCTTCCCGATCCTTCCCTGCCTGCAGCCTGTCAGTTAAATGCATTGGATTCCAACCCAGTAGGCTAGCATCACCCTGACTGAGGCTGAGAAAAGCAACAGAAATTCCCTAGGGCTGAGCAGTCAAGCCACCAAGTGTCATCACCCCTCTGGGCTTCACTTTCCTTTTGTGGGAAAGGGGGTGATGAGAATTTGCAGGACATGGAGGTTCAATTAGCTGGGGAAAGAGACACCACCTTGAAGACTCCATGAGCTAGCCGGGGGCACCAAATGGCAGAGGGTGACTTGTCTCTTCCCTCTGCAATAGGGCTCGCCTACTGCAGACACCTGTCCACCGTGAGGACCCACCTGTCAGCCCTGGTCAATCACATGATCGTGTCTCCGGACTTGCCCTGTGATGCTGGCCAGGGGCTGACAGCCAGGATCTGGGAGCAGTACCTTCAGGACAGCACGGTAAGCCTTGGCGGGGAGTGGGCCACCATGGGGCAGGCTGCGGGGAAGGCTGTTCTGTGGGGACTAGAGTTCATCTGCCTGAGTCCTCTACATGCACACTGAAGGTCAGCTCTTCTTGAGAATTTCAAGATCTCCAGCTCTCTTCTATCCTTGCAAGGTGGAGATTGAAGGACGTATACAGGTTGAACATCGCTCATCTGAAAATCCAAAATTACCTGGGCATTGACATGACACCCCAGTGGAGAATCCCACACCTGACCTCATATGACAGGTCCCAGTCCCATCGCAGCTGCACTAAAATACTGCATGTCATTACCTTCAAATGATTTCTTGTTTGGACTCAGACCACATCCCCAAGATATCTCATAATGTAGATGCAAGTATTCCAAAATTTTAGAAAACCCAAAATCTGAACACTTATGGTCCGAGACATTTCAGATAAGGGTACTTAACCCTAAGCCTCCCCAGAGGGATGAAGAGGGAATGAATGGCAAACTGCAAATGATACAGCATCTTGTGTGCTCCGTCCTGCACACGGTGCTGACTGGATCCAGCTGCCAGGAGAGTGTACGGTGCTGTTCAAGCTCCTAGAATGAGAGCAGCTCCTCGGGAGGCAGGCCCCAGACCTCTCCCACCACGGCTCAGAACTCTCCCATCCCCGTCTGTGGCCTAGGTTCTAGGATTAGGCAGTTCCCCTACAGAGGCTCATTGCTTGGATGCTGTCTAAGATTTCCTGATTGCAGTAAAAGTGGAAGGAAAATATTGATGTTTGAGAAAAGTTTCTTTGTCAGCTAGTTTGGGAAACACTGAGGTTAAACAGTTTTCTGTATGTCTTGGGACTTCTCCAAACCTTGCCCCTGCTAATGTCCTGGTCAACTCAAGAACTCAGAGAGTAAGAGGAACATTCCCTCACATGTATTTGACCACAGAAGCCTGGTTGGAAAATTGCCTCCCACGGCTAGTGGGAGATGGAACCCACTCTGAGAAGCTCTAGTTTGGGCCAAGAACAGGATCTTGGAGGAGGCGCCTGTCCCCATGCTGGGTGGATTCAGTGCCCTATTGGCTGTGCGCCTTCCCACCAGGTGCTGGGGAGGACCTAGCTGGTGCACCCTGGGCTGGGCTGCCTCCCCTGCCCTTGCAGGGAGATGCTATCCGATGCCTTCCTGGGGTGCCAGGGGACTAAGTGGGAAAGACCAGCTGGTTCCTGAGCCCAGACTAACAGAAAGGTGGTTTTGCTTTTTGCCAAAGATACTTGTTTTTTAAATTATAGGAGTAACGTCCATGTACTGTAAGAATTCAAACAATGAACACAGGAGTATAAAGGTTTAAAAGAAATTTAAATATCCTCTTTCTGCTTCATTCTTCTAGTTCCAACCCCTGGAATGAATGGCCTCAATTTGGTGTAAATATTCCATATATTTTTATATTTATCCATAAGAATATCTTTTTATATCTTATCCATATTTCTATAACTATAGATATAAAGCCATACATATCTTTATAGCTTGTCTATATTTCTATATCTACATGTCTTTGGTATATATGACACATGTATACCTTATCTGTATTTTCATATCTATATCTGTAGATACAAATCTATGTATCTATAGATATGTAGAGATAGAGATTTTTGTGTATTTCTATATCTGCCTACATATTTATATATAAGCTATATATCTTTAAATCTTATATTGATCTATCATTTTGTTTAGATTTATATGTAGATAGKTAAGAATACATATATATCCAACATATAGATAGAAATCTTTACCTCTATCTATAAGATATCTATCTTATTTTTATTTTATTTTTATGTGGTTCTGACCCTGCACATGCCAGACGAGCGTGCTACCACTTGAGCCACATCCCCAGCCCGACTTATTTTCTTAATGATATAATACCTAAATTGTATTTCAGGTAACCAAATTGCTTTCATGTCAAGGGACTTTCAAATCTCTGGGTGAAATATTGAATGTTAGAACTTAGCAGCTTATTATGTGGGTGGGCCATAATTTATTCAAATCTTCCCCTGATGACAGATAGCTGGGTTCTTTTTTTTTAACAAAAATTATTTTAAACAGTATTTCAATCAACATCTTTATAGCTTTCTGTACTAGTGCTTTTATTTCAAACGATTCCTAGAAGTAAAATTGATTGATATGTTTAAAATTGAAATCAGGAAGCCCGCCTACTGCCCTAGCATTCCATAGCAATCATCATCCCCAGCAGTTTCTGAGTGTCCGTGTTTCCTGAGGAATGTAAAAGATTTGTGACTCCTGGGCTCCATTCCAGCTGTACTGATTTAGCCCCTCCAGCCCTGGACTCTGTGTTGAGAGTTCCCAGGTGCTCAGGTGCTCTGGTGACCCTACAGTTGGGGAGCCACCAGTCTAAGGACAAGYTGAGTGAGATACAAAATGGGTCAGCAGCGGGCATGTCTCACCTCACACCTTTCTGGACCTGCTTGGCCGTGACTCACCTTTAGCTGTGTTGGGCATTAGGGTAGACTCATGCCCAGGATGGAGCAGCCCCACTCTTTCAGTTGCCTGGCACCAGGCTCTGGCTTCTGGCTGACTTAAGAGCCCTGGGTGGGCACTTCTGGTGAAGGGCATCTCTCCTCCCCCAGGGGTTCAGGCTCCTTCAATCTGTGCTCCCACCGCTCTCAGGGCCTCATGGTCATCTGCCTCCAGCAGACGGGAAAACAGAATGGAGGGAACCCACCTGCTTCCTCTGGCCTTGGCCTAGGAAGGGCTTCCCTCCCATCCTCTCCCGCCTCACTGGCCAGATCCTGCCCGTGCGGCCCCTCGCTCCTAACTGCAAGGGAAGCTAGGGAGTGGAGTCGGGTGGTTGATCCAAAGAGGCAGTGGGTGTTTGATGAAGAGGTCAGAGCCTCAGTTGCAAATCATTTTCTGATTTTTAAACAGCTTTGACAAGGACAGCTACATTATATAGATTAAAATTCCCAAAAAGGACCGAAAGAGGGGCTGTTTTTTTCATTGTTGTTGGGTACACCCAAGACTAGCCTTCCCATGAGAAATATGTTTTTGATTTTGGAATATGAAATAAAGAGCTGAGAGGAGGTGGCCCTGGGGTCCTTCCATGCAACCTCCTGCAGCCAGGGACCGCTCCCTTCTAGAGGCACAGGTGCAGTCGGGGTCTGCCGGCCCCTCAGCTCAACAAATGGTCACTGTGAAGCCTTTGTATAGAAGTGATTATTTCTTAACTGAAAAAAATAAACTCCACACAATGCAGCAAACAATTGCTAAGGTCATCCTAGCGTGCACAGGAGTTAGTGCTGTGTGAAGTGGCAACTGGAAATGTTCCCYCTAGATTAATTCACTGCCAAGTTTACTTAGAGCCGAGTCAAGACTGATAACTGTAAGATCGTCTTTCCAAATATACACAATAGCAAACATTGGCTGAAAAGTAAATCTAATGTGTATTCATCATACGCTGATTACCATACAGTAATATATAATGAACATACAACACGTCATTGATATTCATTTTTCTTTTCACCAAGATCCTAGTCATGTTCCAGTCGTCCTAGACGTGTTCTGTATTGTGCTTTTGATCCCCACTTAATATACATTGAACCTTGCGCGTGGCTTCCCTCCACACTGCCTACTTCCCCTTCTGCTGAATCAGACAACCGGGAGGCCCTGGATAGTGGTGGGAGCATAGCCAAGCCCCTGGAGGAGGAGAGATGCCCTTCACCAGAAGTGCCCACCCAGGGCTGTTAAGCCAGCAAGAAATCGACCCCATGGTATTAAGCCTCACAAACGCACCTCTGGTCCTCTTCAATCTCTGTGTGGTCCCCATGTAGGGATGCACGGTCCCCATTGGTGGGCAGCAGGGAGTTGCCTACGTTTGGCTCTTTCCTAGGATGCCACAGTTGATATTCAGGAACTTGTCACTTTGCTCATGCACACAGGATCTCTGGGGCTGTCTCCAAGAAGCAGGACAGCCGAGCCTCGGAGCCCACCCGCTGGTGGGCTGTTGACCAGACCCTCTGCTTCCTCCCACCCCAGAGTTACGAGGAGCAGGAGCTRCTGCGGCTCATCTACTACGGAGGCATCCAGCCCGAGATCCGCAAGGCTGTGTGGCCCTTCCTCCTGGGCCACTATCAGTTCGGGATGACAGAAACGGACAGGAAGGAGGTGGGTTACCCCATGTAGGCTGCGTGGCGGGGTCTGCTGCCACAAAACGAGCTGGATGCTGTGGCCTGGGGAGCTCTGCTTCCATGTTGGACCAAGGCAGGGAGATACGGGGGAGACCTCAGGTTCATGGCTCCCCCATATTTCCTGTCCAGTGGAAGCAACACAAGCTGCATATGTCAATTTTTAAATAAACCTTTTATTTTGAGATCTTTATACATTAATATGCAGTTGTAAGAAATAAAGCAGAGATCTTGTATATCCTCTACCCAGATCCCTGCCATGGGAATAGCTAGCAACACTGACATGGTGCTCCTGCGTCCCCAGGGCCTCGGCACTGGGGGACACGCCTTCCGTGCTGGGGCTGCCCAGTCTCCCCTGCCCTCGTGTTGGTGCTGAGGGTGTGTTTATTTAGTTCTCCTTGGTTTTCTCACAAGTGGAGATTCGTGTTTGCCATCACAGTGGACATACAGAACACATCCCTGGCCTCTGGTAGCCGCTCATCTGTTCTTCGATGCTGTAATTTTCTGGGTTCCAGGTGTTAGACCAGTGGAATCACAAGTATGTGACCTCTGGGGGTTGAGTGTTCTCATTCAGCCAAGCCTCTGGAGACTCCTCCTCGTCTCTGGGTCAGTGGTTGAATCCTTTTCCTGGCTGAGCAGTATTCCCCGGTCTGGGGGACCACGAGCTCTTCGTCTGTCTGCAGGGAGCTCTGTTGCTACCAGTTTCTTGGCGATGTGAACAAAGCTGCAGTGGACATTGGGGCACAGGTTTCTGTGTGAGCATGAGCTGTCATTGTCCTGGGATAGATGATCAACAGGATGACCTGAGGGGTCCGAGGGTAGCTGCAGGTTTAGACCTGTGCTGTGGCCGGGCCAGTTTACAATCCCCATCAGCCATCAGAGCTGCCCCACCTACATTTTCACCAGTTTGGTGGTGTCTCCATTTTTTATTTTAACTACTCTGACAGGTGTGTAAATGACATTGCATTTGGTTTTAGTTGCATTTCCTAAAGGGCCGTGAGGTTGAACATCTGTGTGCCTGTCGGCCACCCAGGGTCTCCCTCAGGAGGTGTCTGCTCGAGTCTTTTGCCCCCTTTGAACTGGATTGTCTGGGTTTTGGCTGCCAAGTTAGGAGTTCTTTAGGAACGCTACATGATGGTTCTTTGTAGGATAAGTGGTTTATAAATGCTCTCTCCCAGGATGCACCTTCCTTTTTATTTTCTTAAACAGGGTCTTTTGCCAAACACATTTTGATTTTTTTATTTGTTTATATTTTTGGTGCTGGGGATGGACCCAGGGCCTCACCCTGCTAGACAAGCGCTCCACCACCGAGCCGCACCCGAGCCCCTCTCGGTATTCTTGATGGAAGTCCAGTTTCCCCATTTTTCCTTTTACAGATTGTGCATTGGGGTTAGAGCAGAAGAATTTTTTTTGACCAATCCTAGTTCCCAAAGCTCTTCTATGCTTTTTTCTTTTTTATTTTTTCAACCAAGAGATTTTATTGGGGGGCTACCCAAAGGGGAAGAAAAGGAGAGGCCGAGAGAGGGGAGGAGGAGGTCAGAGGAAGAGCATGTGAGCAGAGAGAGGAGAGAAAGAAGAGGAAGAGGGCAGAGAGACTTCTATGCTTTTTTCTAAAAGATTTATGGTTTGACATTTTATTTTTAAGTCTGATCCATTTCAAGTCTGGCTTTACATGTAATATGTCATTTGGGTTGAGGGTGGGTTTTGGCTCTGAGTGTCCAGTGGCTCTGTCACCTTGTGTTGCCACGGTCAGCTTCCTCCATAGACTGGCTCTGCACCTTGTCAAGTCAGCTGGCCTCTCCACAGTGTCTTATTTCTGGTCCTCTGTTCTGTCCTATTGATCTGTGTGTGTCCTTCCAGGACTACAGTGACTTGATGATGGTGGCAGATTGTTGGAAATACCTTAGTATATTAAAAAGGAAAAAGATAAAGCCAAGTAAGATATTTAAATTTTGTATTATAACGTGATTATAAGGTCACAGGTGGTTGCAGAAATAAAACAGGGATTTTTTTAATCAGCTTTTTCGTTGTGACCAAAAGACCTGATAGGAACAACACAGAGGAAAAAAGGCTTATTTTGACTCACAGTCTCAGGGGTCTTCATCTACAGAGGTTGAGTCCGCAGCTCTGGGCCTGAGGCAGAAGGTCATGGCGGAAGGGCGTGGTGAGGGAAGACAGCTCAGGACATGGCAACAGAGTGGAGATAGACCGCCACTTATCAGGGACAAAATGTGTACTCCAAAGGCTCAGCCCAGTGACCCCCCTCCTGCCGCCACACCCTGAGGGTATGGCCCAGTTGATCCATATCCATAATCTTCATCATCTAATTGTTTCAGCTCTGCAGATTGTTGCATTGCCTCACGCATGAGCTGTTGGGGGACACTCATACCTAAACTGTAACAGGAGTCTTGTGTCCCCATCATACAGTTTTCACCACTTTCCTTCTTGTATAATAGAATGTTGCAAAGACACTGGCTCAGTACAACTAGCCAGACCCCAGGCCTCGCTGGGATCTCACCAGTATTTATATTTGTGTGTGTGTGTGTGTGTGTGTGTGTGTGTGTGTGTGTGTGTTTCTGTGACATTTCATCAAAGTGAAAAATATATTTTATTATTAAGTCCAATGTACCAACATATTACCATCTTAACATGTATTTTACGTTCTCTAAGTTTTCAAAACCTGTTGGTGCTTTAGCCCCCCGTCTGTCACCACCTGTACCATTATTGACTGACATTTGTCTTTTGAAAATGAACTCCCTTAACATTCTTGTGCAGAAGAGAGTGGATTACAGAGTGGAGGGGTGGAGCTCTAGGGGTCCCAGCACAGATGACAGATACTTAGAAGAAAATGTCGGTGACCCTGATCCGATCATAGGTGTAGACACAGACATTGAATTGTCACACCATACCCATCACTGTACACGAATGCTACATGTCCAGTAATAGTGACTTCTTAAGAAGGGCAGTCACAGTGTTGAGAACATAGTGATGACCCAGTAGTACCAGGCTGGCCTGATGGAGGAATCGGAGGAGCGTTAAGAGAGGAGACTTCCTGTGGTCCGTATCATGAGGACCCACCCAGTGGACTGACCAGAGTCACCTCAGTCACTTAGTCACCTCYGTCACCTAGTGTGAGCTCCACTCAGAGGAACTGGGACTCTGGGGTGCTGGGCCTGTGCTCAGGGCTTAGGAACCAGAGGGGCACTAGGTAAGCTCTTAAGGTGTATCAGGGTGGCCATGGTCACTGATGTGACAGAAGCCAACTCTAGGGCTGAAAGAGCCCAGAGGTGGCACCTAAGCCAGGCAGGAGAGAGTGGCAGGTGGAAGGTGACCCCTGGGGGAGCCCGTGGAACCCTAGAATTGCTTTCTAGGCAAGAGGATGAGGAGGGGCTTTCAGGAAGAGGGGACAACAGAGCAAAGGCCTGGAAGGGGCCAACATGCCGGGGGGCGGTGGTGTGAGCTGCTAGAACATGAAGGGCTAGGGGTGGGGGCCAGTGCGGAAGCTGGGGCTGGAGAGGAAATGAGGATGGAGGCTGCTGAGTGGTGCACAGAGAGGAGGGACCAGCTGGACAGGAAGGGACCTGAGAGGAGGGTTCTAGGYCATGAGTGGGGAGGAGCTTGGCCTGGGGTGGAGCTGGAACTGGGAGGTGGGTGGGTCTGGAGAAGTCCTAGGGAGGGAGGTAGAAGCCTAGGGCCTCRGGCTAGGAGGGCTGGAGCCCCTGTCTGAGTGGCCACAGGGGACAGCCCCTGCACCTGTCCCCTGCACACCCTGTGCAGGCGGGCTGTCTGCTGCAACATGCCCAGATGTCTGGTAGACTCAGAACCCTGGTCACCTGGGCTGTGTAACCCAGGACAATGGGAGTCCCCCTACCTGCTGACATCCCACAGGGAATGGCTTGAAATCTGTGCCCCTTCCATCAGGCACTGGCTATAGGGAAGGGAAGTGAGTTGGTTTTTCTCATCTTTGTATCCCGGCTCCTAGGCCCATGTTGGACAGGCAGGAGGCTCTCAGCAAACTACAGAGTGAGTGGGTAGATGGGTGGGTGGGGGTTAGAATCCTGCTCATCTTGTATTCCACATGCCTAACTAGGTGCCTGGTGCACAGTAGGTACTTTCAAATTAAATGAATGAGTAAGCAAAGGGATGCGGAAGCAGAGAAGCATGGTGGTAAAATAAGGAAAGAAACAATCTTCTCCCTCTGTTACCTCCAGAGCTGGAGACTGTCCAGCACACAGTGGGGCAGGAAGAAGGGAGGGGAGGAAGGAGCCTCGCTCACTGGTGTATTCTCAGGTCTGGCCAGTGCCAGGCATCTCCTAGTAGGTGCTCAGTTAATGGAAGCTCCCTGCAGGACCTTTGGGCTGAGTCTGCCCTGGGCCCAGTTCCTGCACCCTGGCTCACTTTGATCCACCCCGGCAGGTGGATGAGCAGATCCATGCCTGCTACGCACAGACCATGTCAGAGTGGCTGGGATGCGAGGCCATCGTGCGGCAAAGGGAGCGGGAGTCCCATGCAGCCGCCCTGGCCAAATGCTCTTCGGGGGCCAGCCTGGACAGCCACCTGCACCGGATGATGCACAGGGACTCCACCATCAGCAATGAGGTGAAGGACAGCTGGCCGGGGGTGCCAGAGGGGATGGGAGGGGAGGCTGGATCTCTCCATCAGATGATTTTGAGAGAGGGGCAAGGGTGGCATATCCTAGGCCTTGGGACAGTTGACCGCCTCACCCTTAACTGCTCTTTATTTTTTTGAGGGGGTGACTTTGGAACCATACCTGAGTTCAAATTCCAATGTCAGCCCTGGGGTGTCCTGCATGACCTTTCCTCCTGGCCTTCATTTCTGTATCTAAACAGAATAATCAGTCATACAGAGGTCTGTGTACAGCTCCAGCAGGACAGTGCAGGTTTGGGCTGGGTCTGGGCTCAGTGACAGGGCGCTTGCCTGGCATGTGTGAGGCACTGGGTTTGACTCTCAGCAGTGCATATAAATAAACGAATAAAATAAAGGTCCAGGGGCTGGGGTTGTGGCTCAGTGGTAGAGCGCTTGCCTCGCACATGTGCAGCCTTGGGTTCCATCCTCAGCACCACATAAAAACAAATAAATAAATAAAAGTATTGTGTCCAACTACAACTAAGCAATAAATATTTTTAAAAAATTAAAAAATAAAGGTCCATCAACATCTAAAAAAAACAAAGGCATGCATATCAAATGACTCGCACAGTGCCTGACTTCTGTCTTCCATGTATTCAGCAAATGCTTATCAAGTACCTACTGTGTGCCAGGTACTGTCAGGAATGTCCCAGTAGCCAAGGCGGACATGTCACCCTTACATAACCACCAGCTGAACAGGTCAAAGCAGGAAAAAAGTGCTTCCTCACCAGTGATGTGTCCTTCCTGTGGCCACAGAGCTGGCCTAACAACCAGCCACCCAAACCCAGTGACTTCAGCCACCAGCATGGGCCTCGTTAGCTTTGCTCACTAGTCCACAGGTCAGCCCAGCAGCTCRGCTCTGAGCATGCCTGGGTGGGGCTCTCTGTGAGGCCAGCTGCCAGTGACTGTTCACCTGAAGGTGTTGATCTAGGTTGGGCCGTGTCACCTGTGTGAGGGACTCGGCTCTGCTCCATGTGCCTCGCCCTCCAGCAAGCTAGCCTGGCATGCTGTCCCGGGAACGCAGATGCTGAGGGACAGAAGCAAGTTCCACAGAGCAGTTGGGGGTGGGTGCTCTCGTGACAGAGGAGGAGGGGTGGGGATGTGGAGGCCCAAGTCATCTCTGAGGCGACTCTGGGGAGCAGGGATGCCACCTCCTTCGTCTTACAGCTGGGAAGCTGATGTCTCCAGGGGTGACGTCTCCTAACCAGGGACAGCGAGGGACCAGGCCTCCTGGCTCTGGCCCAGCAGTCCCCCTGAGCCTCACCCGCTCTTCTGACGCCCCTTTCCTCTCAGTCTTCCCAGAGCTGCAGTTCCGGCCGCCAGAACCTCCGCCTACAGAGCGACTCCAGCAGCAGCACACAGGTGACCTTCCAGAGGCCCTGCCCCCTCCCGCCCACACCCCACCATGTCCCCCAGGGTAGCGGGCATTGGATGGCCACCATCTTTGGTTTGTGTTTTAGCATTTTTATGTGTGTGTGTGCGTGCATTTTTGTTTTATTAGTCATCCATGACGGTAAATGTACTCTGACATATCATACATACATGGAGTATAGAACACTGAATCCCACCTTTCTCGATATTTTATTCTCACTCTTCTGGTCATACAGAATGTAGAGTAACCCTGGTCGTGTGATCATATGTGCATGTAGGATAGTAATGTCCGACTCATGCCACCGTCTTCCCCACTCCCCTCCCCTCCCTTCATTCCCCTGGGTCTAATACAACGGACTTCTCTTCTTCCCTACTGTGTTTTAGCTTTTTATTCTAGCATTCAAAATGCACCTTTTAGYGACACAACTAATACAGTTGTCCCTTGGTATCCAGGGGACTTGTTCGAGGAGCCCCCATGGATACCAAACTCCAGGGATGCGCAGATCCTATGTAAAATGGTGCAGTATTTGCAGAGCCTTCTGTATACTCAGGATGACTTAGAGTCCCCAACACAATGTAAATGCTATTGAAATACTAGCTATATTGAATTTTTTAGGAATAATGACTAGGAATTATTCACATACAAAGAATTATACACACATCCAGCACAGATGCGGTCTTTTTTTTTTTTCCAAATATTTTCAATATGCAGCTGGTTGAATCTGTGGATGTGGAATCTGGGGATAATGGGAGACCGACTCCATGTGAATCCATTCTCCCAGCAGAACATTAAAACACTGCAGAGAAAGCCAAACTTGCTTCTGTCTTCCCTCATCCCCCTGCCTGCCTTGAAAATAACCATCAGCAGCCCACTGTGCTCTTCACAACTGAAATATGCAGATAACATGTAGCAGCATTTGGTAGTTTTTAAAATTTTCTACCTAAATGTGATTGTATATATTCCTTGTTGACTTTCCGGTAAACTAGATGAAAACACTTACTTCCATCTCTCTCAATATTAAAGAAAAAGCAAGTTGCAAAGAAAGGTACAGAGGATGACAACTTTTGTGTAGAAGGGGAAATGTGGATACATGTATGCAATCACATTCATTTTCAAATACAGTGGAAAGAGAAACCAGAACTACCCAAAGTGCTTACCCAGGAGAGGGGAGTGGGGTGGGGGGGAGCTGTGAGTCCCTGAGGTTGGTTTTCTCATTTTGACTTTGGAGTCAAAAAGTTCTAATTTTGACTCTGGGGTTAGATAAACTTTTATACACTGAATGAAAAAGAAATTTTAAAAAAACTAAGCAACATACATAATTAACCATAAATCAAGTCAGTAGAGAGAAGAAATACTGCAAATGACTTTGGAATGTAGTCTGTGGTCTTTTACTGTCTGTCCTTAGGCCATTAGGACACAAAGAATCACCAATACGTCTTTAAAATGAATTCCACAGATAATTTCATGTGATATGTTTTTTAGCCTGTTCCTGACATTCACTAATTGTTTAGTTTTTTAAAAAGCTCATGGTGAGCCAGGCACAATGGCACACGCCTATTTATATCTCACCATCTCCAGAGGCTGAGGCAGGAGGATTGCAAGTTCAAAACCTGCCTCAGCAACTAAGAGAGGCCCTATGCAACTCAGCGAGACCCTGTCTCTAAAGAAAATATATAAAAAATAGCTGGGGACATGGCTCAGTAGTTAAGCACCCCTGAGTTCAATTCCCAGTACAAGAAAAAAAGAATTCATGGTGAAAGTCTATATGATGCATTACAGTTCCCTGGTAGCCCTCTTCAGAGGGCTGTAATGCTTTCTTGTTATTTCTGAGTTATTCATGCATATATAAGCACGTATCACTTACTTGTTACAAATGGAGCATAAAATACACTTTTCCCGCTSTATAGTATTCCAGTGCATTCAAATTCCATCCTGATACCAATCCCCAGTTGTTGAGTATCAGGTTGCTGTTTGACAGTGTCACCATGGATACCCAGCTGTCCTGTTCACCTCTGTCCCTGTTCACCTTCTGCTCAGGTGTTTGAGTCCGTCGATGAGGCAGAGCAGGTGGAAGGAGAAGGCCGACTGGAGGAGAAACAGCCCAAGGTCCCCAACGGGAACCTAGAAAACGGCCCGTGCTCCCCAGACTCTGGCCATCCATCTTCCCACAACTTCTCCTCCGGCCTCTCAGAGCACTCGGAGCCCAGCCTCAGCACCGAAGACAGCGTCCTGGACGCCCAGCGGAGCGCGCCCCCGGCCCTTCCACCTGGGGACAACAGCGTGGACGACGGGCAGAGCAGTGAGGCCACCACCTCAAGGGACGAGGCCCCTCGCGAGGAGCTGGCAGTGCAGGACCGACTGGAGAGCGACAGCCTGGCCAACGGGAGCCTAGACGAGTTCATGTCCATCGCTGGCAGCATGGACGTGGCCCTGCCCGAGAAGGACGGTGTGACAGGGGAGGGCTGGCGGGGCTGCGAGGCCGAGAAGCGCAGCCAGGCGGACAGTGAGGACAACCTCTCGGAGGAGCCCGAGATGGAGAGCCTCTTCCCCGCCCTGGCTTCCCTGGTGGTGACCACTTCGGCCAACAATGAGGCGTCCCCGGTGTCGTCCAGCGGCGTCACCTACTCAGTAAGTCACCTGACTCTCCTCCATCCCGCTGCAGGGGTGGGGCAGAGAGACCCAACCTTAGAGCTGCAGCTGCTTGGTTTCCTTTCCTCGTCACCRTTACCAGGATTCACTGCACACACCYGGGTTGGGAGAGAGGAGTGTCCCTAATCTAAAAACCCACCAGACTCCAAAGTGCCCAAGCTCAGTGGCCAGCACCTGTTATCCCAGCTCCTCGGGAGGCTGAGGCAGGAGGATCCCTGAGCCCACAAGCAGGAGGCCAGCCTGGGGAGAAGAGCGAGACCCTCTCTTCAAAAACAAAACAGAATCTATTCAGCAGAGGACTCCATACCCCAAATCCAATTACCAACTTAATCCACCAAACAGAAAACTCCACATCTGACCTCGTGGGATGGGCTGCAGTCAGAAGGCACAAAGTTATTCAAAATACTGTAGAAAATTACCTTCGGGACAGGGGGAGAGGTGCATATGAAGCATAAATGGATTCATGTGTAGACACAGGTCCTGTCCCACCATATCTCATCAGGTATAGATATAGACATAGATACAGATGTGTCCCCAAAGCCTAAGCATCCCCAAACACCCCTGGTCCAGAGATTTCAGCCAAGGGATGCCCCACCATGGGGGACTGGGGGACACAGGCTTCACAGTGAGCACTCCCAGGCTCAGACCCCAGCTTTAGCAAATCACTTCAGTGCTCCTGCGCCTAGGTCTCCCTATCTGCCTGGCACCTTCTTGAGTTATTTTCAGTTCATACTCTGAAGTCCTGGGTGTGTGGCACACAGTGAGCACCCGATCTCCAGCAGCTCCACAGTCACCTTCATGCTTTTGACTAAGGTCTGATATCCTTTAAATGTGCCAATAAGTCCAGGCCAGAAGGCATCATCTGAAAGGAAGATGTTCCAAGCCACCCCTAGTGTACACATTTCTTTAAAAGATTTTTTTTTCCTATTAAAGATGTGCAAGCCCATAATTTAAAGGGTCAAACATCTGGACGAAGCTAACTATGAAAACCAGATGTTGGGCTGGGCTCAGTGGTGCACCTGTAGTTCCAGTTGCTCGGGAGGCTGAGGCAGGAGGATCACTCCAGCCCATGAGTTGGAGGCCAGCCTGAGCAACATAGGAAGATCCTGCCTCTTAAAAAAGGAAAGAAAAGAAAAAAAAGAAAGGAAGAAAAAGAACAGAACCATGAGCTCACCCCTCCTCCCCATCAGCCCTCCCCAGGGCAACCATCTTACTTATTGTGCCCTGATGTCTGATTCCACCCCCATAGCTCAAACACACTTGTATTATTGCTGTTTGATCTTTTTTTTTCCAGTTTTAGACGTTATCAGTGACCCCCATTATGGAAGTAGATTTTTGGCTCCCACGTCCTTCTCCATCCAGACCTGTCACTTCACAAGGGACACTGGCCACACCCATCTTTCCAGCACAGCTACGTAATGATCTTGGTTAAATGGTCACTCAGGTTCACAGGATCCTAGGTGTCTCCTCTGGGCCATGAAGTCAGCTGTGTTGACTTTTTTTGCAGAAGAAAAAAAAATGTCCTGGATGTGTCTTCATTTGTTTGCTTTCTTTCCTTAGTTTCTTGAATATTTATCACCAATTCACTGCCCCAAATCCTTGCCGGGTTTCTGGGTCCCTCCAACATTTAGACTTGGCAGGCTTTCTGTGTGCTCTGTGTATCTGGAGAGTTCAGCCTGTACCTGAGGCAGGTGTGTCCCGACCTTCCTCCCGCCCCCTCTCCAGGTCCCTTCCATCTCACTCCAGCCTCTGTCCCCCAGTTTCCCTTCTTCTAACTTGACACCCTTGTTTGGGTGGGGCTCATGCCTCAGTGAGCTCTGTCCCCCATTTGGCTTTTCTTGCCTTCTTATGTGGCGGGCCCCTGGCCTGGGGTCTCCGTCTCCGTGCGAAGTGCCTTCCTGAGTAGATGGGCCTCCGTTCATCTGGAGTGAGACTCATGTGGCCCTCGGTCTTGAAGATATTTGTACTGAATATGAGACTCCAGATCGCAGTGATTTTTTTCTTAGTACAGATGGTCCTCAATTTAGAATGGTTTGATTTATGACTTTTGAAGCTGACAGTGGATTTTTTTCCTGGGCTAGTAGTATGTAGTATGATCTTTTCTCTTGATTGCTGGACAGCGGCAGTGACCACAGCTGGCAGTCAGCAGCACCATCATAAGGACAAAACACCCCCATACTGCAGAGCGCACTGTGCAGTGAAGCCCTGCAGTGCTCCTTATGACACAGGGGTCAGGCCTCAGCCCCATCCTAAGTCAGGACACCTCTGGGCTTTGAAGACATTGTTGCACTTTCTTCCAGTTGCCTTCACTACTGTTAGCAAGTCAGGGAGCTGACTGTCATCTCTGCAAAGACAACCTCCTTCTTGAATTTTTTCATATATGCTGTGACTGTTTGATTATTTTATAGAGTTGCTATTTCTTTGACCTCTTATTTCTGTAAATATATTAAACACTTATTTTATCCTCTGTCCCTGATGCTTCCAGTAACAGAGGCTCTTTTGGTTCTAATTCTGCCATCTTTGTTCATGCCAGCTGTTATTTGGGGTCCTCTTTCTCTGAGCATCTTGTGGTGTTTGGACATAAGCTTATATTTCATGGAGTGTTATCTGTTAAGGCCTAGGTGAAAGGTTGATTCCTTCCTTTGCCTCATCCCAGTCCCAGAGGCATAACAAATCTGAGATGACTTTAAATTCTCCAGTCTTTCAGACCACCTAGGCAGTGGGAATTGGGTTAGAAACCTGCATGAGTTATAAACTTGATTTGGGGCTTAATTATCCAGGGAGATAGCTTTTACACTGAATTTGGCATCTGTGTTCAAAGTGCAATCGAGCAGTTACATTCAGGCCCCAGAAGGTGAGCAGGCAATTTCATAGGTTTCCCTTACTGAGGCTCTGGCTCTTTGGGGTGCTGTGTTGCTGCGGAAGGTCTCTTACTAGGACTCACCTTGGCAASGGCTATAGATGGTTGAATCCAAGCTTGATTTCTCTGGTTTGGCAGCTACCCTCAAGGCAAAGCCAGTTTTAGTATTTTCTTGTTTTTCTGGGGTTTTTTGTTTGTTTGTTTTGTTTTGTTTTGTTATATATTGTTTTGGGGGATTTTTTGTTTGGTTGGTTTTTTTGTTTGTTTGGTTTGGGGGTTTTTTGTGGTTTTKGGGTTTTTTTTTTTTTTTTAATACCAAGAATTGAACTCAGGGGCACTAGGCCACTGAGCCACATCCCCAGCCCTGTTTTGCATTTTATTTAAAGACAGGGTCTCACTGAGTTGCTTAGGGCCTTGCTAAATTGCTGAGGCTGGCTTTGAACTCATGATCCTCCTGCCTCAGCCTCCTGAGCTGCTGGGATGACAGGCGTGTCCTATTGGGCCCTGCTCTAGTTCGTTTTTGATCCTGAATATTCCTTCCTTTCTTGCTTATTATTGAGCCATTGCATCAGTCGATGACCACAGGATCTGGTCTAATATGGTACCAGACTTGGACCCGGGTTCAGTTCCTTCACCCTTCTGCAGTTTTCTACGGTGGGGGGCACTTCCAGCTACGATTATAACTCCAAGTCTTGTTTGTTTTGTCTTGTTTTGGTGGAAATTTTAGTTTAGATGGACACAATACCTTCATTTATTTATTTTTATGTGTTGCTGAGGAACCAACCAGGGCCTCACACCTGCTAGGCAAGCGCTCTAGCACTGGGCTACAACCCCAGCCCAAGTCTTGATTTTTTTTTTTTTTTTTTTAGTAAAATGGGGATAATGATTTTGTGCATTTCGTGAGATTGTTTTATTTAAAAAGGAACAGAACATACAAACTCAAAGAGGCTTTCCCAGAAAGTGTGCAAATAAATAAATAAACCCCAGCTGGCCCTGCCAGGAGACCTCTTCCCTGTCCACAGGAAAGGGTCAGGAGGAGGAACGGGGTTCTGCCCCCCAGTGGGGAGTTTGGGGATAATCTCTTTTCTTCTCCTGGGCACCCACAGCCGGAGCTGCTGGACCTGTACACCGTGAATCTGCACCGCATCGAGAAGGACGTGCAGAGGTGTGACCGCAACTACTGGTACTTCACACCCGCCAACTTGGAGAAGCTGCGCAACATCATGTGCAGGTGGTGTCCTGGGAGACCTGGGGGAGGGGCGTGGCAGGGGGACCCCGTGGGGCTGTGGTGAGCCCAGGCGGAACTTCGTTCAGCCTCTGAAGCTGGTCTATTTTTAACCCACACTGACAATTAAATAACAACAGTAATGATAAAAGAGAGTGATTATTGAGTGCTTACTGTATACCAGGCACTGTCCCAAGACCCCTACTATCCTCAGCTCATTTATTCCTTCAACAGCTCTATGGAGTAATTATTATGCTCTGTGACAGGATGTGGAAACTCAGAGGGGGCCACCCKGTGCCCTCACTGGACCACAACTCAGGGGGACTCACAGCCACATCTCTATCTAAAATCTATCCTTTTCTTTCTTTTAAGCCAAGATCTAAGGCTACTTATTTCTGTTCATTAAAAATTATTATTGGCATCTCTTAAGAAGTAAAACTGGCCCAGGCATATTAAAAATCTGCAGCAATTAAGGATGTCAGAAGGTCCTAAGATGCAAAGAGAAACTTCTTCATCTCTGCCTGTCAGTGACACTCCCACAGAAGTAATACCAGCTAGCCACGTGGCAAATATCTTCCATAGCCACATGGATGGTGTTTAATGATCATATAATCTTATGTCGTATTCTGTGCACTGCAATATGAGTGTGTATTACATGATATGATGTATTTTAAAGTTTCCAACTGAATGACAGATGTTATATGTAAATGAGAAAAGTGCTGGGGAGGAGGAAGAATAGACTTTTTCTGGTTATGAGCTTAGGGAGAGGTCATGGGGAGTCTCACAGAGGTGGGGACTCTCCAGAGAGACTTGGAGAAAATTTTTTTGAAATGACTGAAGAAACCACTGGCCATGGAGTTTAAGGTCATATACCCTCAAGTGAGGCTTCCTGGGTCCAGAAACTGCCTCCGCCCCCCACCATTAGGTCTATGACTCTGGGGAAAGCACTTACCTGTGCATGCCTCAGTCTCCTCATCTGTGAAGAGTGGTAATGATGATATTTATTTTATATGATTATCTTATATGATTATCATAATTTGTATGATTATCTTGAAATACATAATCATATATCTTTTAAGATATATGATTATCTTAAAAGATGCGGTAAATGTGTATCAGCCTAAGTATATAGAAAATACTCAGAAAATACTAGCTGTTATTAATAAGAGGCTGATCAGAGTTTCCGAAAGCGGGACCCCCTAGGGCAAAGGTGCAGGGACGTAACTGTGTGGTTTGTCTGTGGGGAGGGAGACCTCCACGTGGCTGGGGAGGAAGAGGCACTGGAGGTGCTGCGTGGGGCTCTGAGATGAATTGGGAGGCGCTGAGTCCTGTACCCCAGTAAAGGAGTCTGGATGTCACCCCACCCAACAGCACCCTTGTGAAGGCTTCTGAGCATGCAGTGGCCCCCTTGAGCAGGACATTGGGAGGGCCATCCAGGTGGCTGTGCCCAGGTGTCTGGGGAGTGTGAGACAGGATGGGCATGCAGGTGTCGGGCTGAGGGCACCATCTAGAGGAGGGGTAACAGGAGGTGGCTGGTGGCGGTATCACTGGCCCCTGTTCTCTCATAGCTACATCTGGCAGCACATTGAGATCGGCTATGTCCAAGGCATGTGTGACCTTCTGGCTCCGCTGCTGGTCATCCTGGATGATGGTGAGTGGGTCCCCTCTGCTGTAGACTCGGGGGTCAGATCCTTCCCACTGCAGGGAAGGGAGTGACCCTCACTCAGTGGGTCCATGGAATGAGCAGGGCAGGGGCTCAGGATACCTGTCTGGGCACCACATCAGGGTCCCAGTGAACAGAGTCCTCCTGCACCAGGTGTCCAACACCGAAACCCAGCCAGGCCTTTGCTAGCTACCGACTGTACAGACGTGAGTGACGGCAGAGAAGAACCAGGCCCAGGTGGCTTAACTGTGAGCGCTACCAGATATTCAGGGAAGATTTAACACAACTTCTTCACAGACTCTTCCATAAAAAAAAAAAAAAAAAAAAGGAAAGGAAATGAGCCAGGCCCAAGTTCAATGCCTAGTATCTGGAAGGGAGGAAGGAAGGAAGGAAGGAAGGAAGGAAGGAAGGAAGGAAGGAAGGAAGGCATCCCAACTCATCTGGGAGGCAGCCCTCGGATAAGTGCTGAGCTCCTTATCACCACCCTGTCGCCCACACCAGACACAGCCATCACAGGAAGGCTGCACCCCAATATCTTTCATGGATATGAATGCAGAAATCCTCCACAAAATACCAACAGGCTAACTCCAACAAGATATAATAAGTGAGGTGTTTCATTTTGTTTTGTTTTTATGATGCTGGGGTTTTGAGTCCAGGGCCTCACATACGCTGGGAAAGTGCTCTAACACTAAACTACACCCCCAACCAGAAATAAAAAGGATTACAGTCCATGACCAAGTGGGATTTACCCCAGGGATGCCAAGGGGTTCAACATACAAAATAATAGGCACTATTCACTGCATCAATAAAATTGCAGGCAAAAAAAAAGTTCATCTTAATAGACAAAGAAAAACATGATAAAACCAACACCTTTCATGATAAAAACACTCAATGAACTAGGAACAGAAGGGGACCTTGACATGACAAGCAATATCTATGGAAAACCCACCATCAACATCAAACTCAGTGGGAAAGACCGAGCACATTCCCTTGGATCTGGAACAAGATAAAGATGTCTGCTTTCTCCACTGTGGGTCCAGCACGGGCAGGTCAGGAAGGAAGAGAAACCACTGGAGAGGAAGCAGAACTGTGTTCCCAGTTGGCATGACTTTGCTGTAGAAAATCCTACAGAATAAAAAATATATTAGAACTAATAAATACATCGATTTTGCAGGATATGAGATCAATAAACCAAAGTCTATTGTGTTTCCATTCAGCCTCCGGAGCTGGTCTTATTTTAGCTGATGATTAAATCACAACAACAAGCAATTCCAAAATGAAATAAGGAAAACAGTCCCATTTGCAATAGCATCTATGACACACACAGGACACTTAGGAGCACATATAACAGAAGGGCAAGGAGGGTGCCCTGAAAACTAGAAAACATTCTTGGAAGAAATGGAAGAAAACCTAAACTATAAAAAGACATCCATGTTCATGGGCTTGAAGACAGAACTGCTGAGGTGGCATTGGCTGCAACATCCCAACACCACGGAAGAAAGGGAGGGARGGAGGGAGTCCCCACTCTTAGGCATGGACCTCACTCCTTCCCAAAGATCCAGGTTGAGAGGGGGTGGGGCTGGAAATGAGAGGAACATCACAGTGGTGCAACACAAGGACAGACATTCCCTCTGCAGAGTGACCAAGACCCACGTCATGTGTCATAGGTCGTGTTCACAGTGTGTATCCTGGACATGATTCAATTAAAATGCCCTTTATCTTTGGGATCTTCCTCCCAAAACCCATAACCTCATCTCATTGTGAGAARAACATCAAATTCTCCTGCTTGTAATGGAGCATCCTATAAAAATAATACCCGACCAGGACTCTTCAGGACTGTCGAGGACATTAAAAACAAGAAAGCCTGAGAAACGCGGGAGCCCAGAGGAACCTAAGGAGCCAGGACAGCTGTGTGTGATGGGCCACAGAGAAAGCACAATAGGTGACTGCTGAGGAAACCAGAATACGGACAGAATTTAGTTAATGATGTATCAGTATTAGTTCATTAGCTATAACAAATGAGCCATGCTCCCGTAAAGATATTAATAACAGAGGAAACTGGATGTGGACCATGTGAGAAAACTTTGCTGTCTTCTCAGTTTTTCTATAAATCTAAACTGTTGTAAAAATAAAGTCTTAAACAGGGTGTAGGGGTGCATGCCTATAATCCCAGTGGCTCAGGAGTCTGAGGCAGGTTTGAGGCCAGTCTCAGCAACTTAGTGAGACCCTAATCAACTTATCCAGAATCGTCTCAAAATAAAAAATAAAAATGGGCTGGGGATATGGCACAGTGTTAAGCACCCCTGTGTTGAATCCTTGGTTCCAATACATAAATAAATCAGAGTGTTTAAACAATGAATGAAATCCCACTGTCCTTGGGAAATTTTCCAGTCTAGCATAGCTCTCCTCAAAGTTATCAATTATTCAGCAAGGGAAAATAAAATCTACCATTTTTCAAATAAATTTGTGACTCACTGGATGGTATAAATCAGGTTTCTTTGCTACAAGACTTCTCAGAGCCTTTACTTTTTAAATATGTGTATGCATGGGTGTTSTAAGCAGCAGATAATCTGAGCAGCATTTTCCAAAGTAATTTAAAACTTTGCATGTTGTCTATAAAAGCCCTTCCGATACTCAGAGATGCTGCTTGAGGATAGTGGTTCTCAGACTTGGAATTGCCAGTGGAATTTCTTTTTTTTTTTTTAATTGTACTTGGACACCATACTTTTATTTTAATGTGGTGCTGAGGATTGAACCCAGGGCCTCGCACATGGTAGGCGAGAGCTCTACCGCTGAGCCACAGSCACAGCCCCTCAGTAGAATTTCAAAAAAGAATAAAAAAAGGTACCAACAAAACACTGTCAACTTTTTACTGGAACAAACAGAGGCCTTTTCAAAAGAGCCTCGGCCACACCATCATTTCCTAAACGAGGGTGCCAAGAGCTCCCGGGTGAGAAGCACACGATCCCCCTCAGGTTGGAGAGCTTCCCTTGGAACCCAATCCAGTGGGCCCTTCACGGTCCCATGTTCCCCCCCTGGCTGTGGACACTCTGACCCAGCCCTGGGCTTAGCACTTCCCCTGGGGAGCTGGGGGCCTTGTGCAGTGGTACCACTAACATTTGTCCCTCACTCACTGGCGCCCCAGAGGCCCTGGCTTTCAGCTGCTTCACAGAGCTCATGAAGAGGATGAACCAGAACTTTCCCCACGGAGGCGCCATGGACACGCACTTTGCCAACATGAGGTCGCTGATCCAGGTATGACCGGCATCTAGTCAGCTCTTTTGGGGACCAGTAGGTATCACTCCGTGACTTAGGATTGAGTAGCTTGGGGTCAAGGTGCATTTGAACCCTATTTCTGCTTCTCGCTGGCTAGAAAATCTAGGCTTTCTGGGCCTCAGTTTCCTCATCTGGAAAATAGGTAATTTTCCCATTTATATGATTCCCAATGAATTGTTACAGTTATGGAAATGAAATAAAATAATGCATTTATAGTACTGAGCACAGGGCCTGCAGGGTCCCTGACCAGCGGCAGCAGGGTCACCTAGTAACTTATTAGAAATACAGGTCAGTCTTACCTCCCTCTGCCCCCCTGACTCAGAGACACGGAGCTGAGCCTGACAATCTGTGTCATATGAACCCCTCAGTGACTCCGTGCAAGCTGAAGTGTGCAGGTGCTATGAAAAATGCCAGCCCTTCAGCACCCACCATCTGCTCCCAGAAGAATTGAGACATTCGCCCCTTTGAGTGAAAGGAATGGAAATGTATCAGCCTTAGCAAATGACAGGGAAATGTCACTACCTGGGCACCTGCAATGACATTGCAGCAGTGATCAAGTTAATCCTGAGTACTTTTTTGATCAAGCTAAAAAATGTCACCAAATATTTTAGGCATAAGAGAAATGATGATCTGATGAGTGTCCAAAGCATTAACCTTAGATTTCCAGCCCTCATGTGTCCCTGTGGATGGCGTGTCCTCATTCCTGTCCTCCTAGTGGAGTCCCCTTTCTAAGATGTGAAGCTTGTCATTAAAAGACATTCACAAAAATCCTCCTACCACGTATGCACTGCCGTGGGACTGCGCAGCCCACAGCCTAGTCTCAAGCTTCCCAGGGGCTCATGTAAGACGTAGGAATAGTCTTAACTGGCGTCTGTCCATCTGGCAGTGTGTCTGTGCGGGGGGGGGGGGGGGGGACAGGTCTGCGGCTCTCCTCAAGGGTGCAGCTCACTGCCTCTTCCCTGAAGCCCAGCTTCCACTCTAGGAGTCACTCAGGCCCACTTCATTTGTAGCCCTTTTCCTGTAGGTGGACACTTAGTTTATTTCCATGTTGGTTTGTTTTGCTTTTGATTTGGGGAATTGGTGAGTTTGCTTTTGGCCTTTACAAATGGTGCTATTAAGAAATTCTGTGCATATCTCCTCCTGCATGCACGAGCTGTGCTGGGGCTTCATTGGACACGGCTAGATCATACTCCAAAGCCATCAGTTGTCCCAAGAAGGTCTTTTTTTCTTTCTTTCTTTCTTTCTTTCTTTCTTTTTTTTTTTTTTTTGTTTGTGTTTGTGTTTTGTTTGGCAAACCCAAGACCTTGCTCCTGCTAGACAAGTGCTCTTAGCATGAGCTACACTCCCAGGCTTTTTTTGTTTTTTAAATATTGAGACAGGGTCTCACTAAGTTGCTGAGGCTGACCTTGAACTTGCCCTAGATCCTGCAACCTCCCTGGATCCTGAGCCTCCTGCCTCGTGCACTGCCCCACCCAATAGTGAGATTCCTTGACCCACTTTACCCTTATCTGACCCGTCACACTTCTTCCTTTTCCCCAGTCTCCTGGGTGCACTTGCAGCAGTGTGTGGTGATGTCATCTGCGTTTTCTGAACAGTGCCATGGAAGATCCGYCCTTCTCCCCTTGGAGTCATTTGGGTCGCTCTCTGTGGATTCCCTGTCCTAGTGCTGCTCGCTTTATTTGGGTGCCTTCTGCACACTTAAGACTCCGGCTGTGCGTGCTGCCCTTCTCTTCCCGCAGACTCTTTCAGAGCTGCTGTTCCTCTGAGCACAGTGTCTGATGGCCGCAGATCTCTGCCCTCTGTTTTCTAACAGCCACGGTTTGTTGCTCCATTTATCTTTTGGTGGACGCCGGACTGGTTTCCATTGGCCGTTTTGAACAGTGCTGCTGTGCARTCCATGGTCAGTTGAGGAGTCTCGTGGGAATGCCTAGGGAGGACCTGCTGGATAGCGCGGCAGCTCTGTGTTTAACTTTTTGAGAAGCTGCCAAAATGTTCTCCACAGTAGCTGCCCCACTTCCCAGAGCAGTGGAGGGGGCTCCAGCTTCTCCTGATCCTCGCCAGCACTTGTTATTATCTGTCACTGATTGAGCCGTCCCAGGGGTGTGAGGTGGCGTCTCCTGCAGTTTTCATTTGGCTAAAGATGCCAAGCGTGCTGTGTGTGCTCATGGCCACTTGGAAGTCTCTGGAGAAACGTCTACTCATAGTCTTTGTCCACTTAAACCCCACCTGGTTGCTGAGGGCTGTCTGGTGTGTGGTGTGGGCTTGTGCCGTCCTTGACCCAGCGGTCCCCTCTTGTTCCAACCTTGCTCTGGAGCTGATACCACCACTTTTTCTTCCTCTAACAGATCCTGGATTCGGAGCTTTTTGAGCTGATGCATCAGAACGGGGACTACACCCATTTCTACTTCTGTTACCGCTGGTTCCTGCTGGACTTCAAACGAGGTACCCGCTTCAAACCAGGGCCTTGTCCCAGGCTCTCTGAGCAGGACCTCAGAGGAGGCGCTAGGGCAGAGGCGAGGCTGAGTGGGTGCTGGGCCAAGGCAGCAAAGGGATCAGCATGTTGGTCACTTGCACTAACAGCTTCTGCCACTTCTTTTTGCCTGACCTTGCAAACACACTGCATGGGGACTGTGACAGTCCTGCTTCACAGATGGGAAAACTGAAGCTGAGGAAGATTTAATCCAGAACAAGGAAGAGCAGAGCCAGCCATCTRAGCCCACTCTCTCTACCCCCAGGACCACCTCCTCTTCCACTCAGTGCTGCTTAGCAAAGACTCTCAAACCCACGGAGTAGAGGGTGCTTTGTGCATGTGTCATACATGACTTAGAAGTGACGTCACTTCTAGATGCACGGCTGTTATACACATTGGGGTGATATGATAATAAGAATGACTCACATTTGGAGGGGTTTACTAAGTGCCACCCACTTGGGTGTCTTATCTCTTTTACTCTCACCAGTATCAGCCCCCCTACAGATGGGGCGAGAGGCAGGGAGAGAAGCAGCCACCCTGAGGCCCCAGAGCTGGACTGACAGCCAGTTAATGGGAAGCCTTGCTCCTTTTGGTCTCCAGACCATTAATAAGTAGAACTTATCTCAGAAATGCAGATTATTTACATATGAAAAGCACTCAGTGTAACACATGGTATCCATAGAGTAAGGGGAAAAAAGAACATGATCACTTAATACATGACATAGAAAAAGCATTTGGCAGTGAAACAAAAAAGCTTTTGACAAAATCTAATCCTTCAGGACAAACCAACCAACCAGGAGTAGAGGGACTTCCACCAGAAAAATGGGAAGCCACAGTGACCCAGCTGCCATCATGTGATGGTGAAGGCCACATCCCCCTGCAATGAGGAGCAGGACGTGGGTGTCCGCTCTGGTCTTGTCCACCCTGCACTCCCRGAACTGCTGGCCACAGCAGCTAGGCAAGCTGGGGCCGGGCTGCGGCTCCGTGGTAGGGCGCTTGCCTTGCGTGAGCAGGACCCTGGGTTCGATCCCCAGCACCACCTAAAAAATAAAATAACAGTGTTGTGTCCTACAACTAAAAAAAAAAAATTTAAAACAGCAGTTAGACAAGAGGAAGAAAGAGCCTCCACACTGGAAAGGAAGAAGTAAAAATTCTTCTGTTTGCAGAAAACACAATTGTGTACAAAAAAAAGGATTTAGAAAACCCCAAGGAATCCACCCACACAGCTATTGGAACTAAAGATAAGCTCAGCAAGGTGGCAGGATACACATCTACGTGCAAAAATCAGTGGTATTTTTATACACTAGCAACAAAAAAATTTAAACTCAGAACAGACAGATTAATAAAGCATCAGAAAGAATAAAATACTTAGGAATAAAATTTTATGGATTTTTTTTGTTTGTTTTGTTGTTTATTTTTTGTTGGTTTTGGTTTGTTTTGTTTTTTGCTACTGTGGATTGAACCCAGGGTCTTAGCCACTGAGCCACATACCCAGCCCTTTTTAATTTTGACACAAGGTCTCGGTAAGTGACTTAGGGCCTCCGTTAAGTTGCTGAGGCTGGCCTCAAACTTGCCGTCCTCCTGCCTCAGCCTCCCGAGCCACTGGGATTATGATGTGCATCTACACATGCAGTTAAGCCTTGCTCTTACCTACCCCTATCTTCCACCTCTTCACTAACCTCAGGCAACAGCAGCCAGCCCTGCCCTGTGCAGGCTGATGGGTAGCGGAGGGTGGGCCCTGGCAGAAGMCAGGGAGGGCACAGGTCCATGCCAATCAAACCTGCACGTGCTCGGTTCCTCCACTTGAGCTGGAAGAAACGCAGGAAGCTGTTCTACTGATGGGGGAAACTGAGGCTTCCCAGGGTCAAATGACAGGGTTCCGGGCTCCATGTCCTGCCTCACAGCCAGGACACAGGCCCAAGCCCGGCTGGCCCCGCATCCTCAGCAGGGAGGGCAGCCCTGTGAGCGCACTGCTGACCTGCCATGCGCATGCGTGTTGGTGTCCMTGCAGAACTCGTCTACGATGACGTCTTCGCCGTCTGGGAGACCATCTGGGCAGCCAAGCACGTCTCCTCCGCCCACTACGTCCTGTTCATCGCGCTGGCTCTGGTGGAAGTCTACCGCGACATCATCCTGGAGAACAACATGGACTTCACGGACATCATCAAGTTCTTCAATGGTACCCTGTGGCGGGGTCACGTCGGGGGTGGGGTCATCCAGAGGGAGGGGCCGAGGGAGTTGTGCACATGTTGTTACTAGTTCCATCTCGTTTTTCTATTAACAGTTCAAAAAGCTCTCACGTATAACCCTTTGTTACCACTACAGAGTACACCCCAGTGACTGTCCTCTAACTTACTGGACCATTCCTTGTTCTTGGGTGTCCATTCCTTGTTCTTGGGTGTCTTATTTTCCATTTGAAGATGTGATAGAGAAAGAAAAGCAATTCGTATCTTGGTGTCGAGGCTCCCAGGCCCCTCGGCTCAGGGCCACCCAGGGTCTCTGCCCAGCATCTCCATGACATTGTCATCACAGCATCTCAGGCCAAAAGTTCCATTTAGTAAGCAGCTTGGGCTAAGTCACTTAATGAGTTTCCATGTCTTAATAACACAGTAGCCATTGCGGGGGGGGGGGGGGAATGCATGTAAATTGAAAGAAATCTTTTCTATTTCATTCTTTAAGTCAGTTCCAGGGCTGTGTGCGCCTGTTGGACCCACCGTGGCCTCACCAGCCTCCACTCCAGCTACGACTCCACCCCCTTATTTCCCGTTTCTCACACAGTACTTGCTTTGTATCACAGCAGCTTCGAACAACCCCGCAAGTGGACAGGCGATGTGGTGCTCAGTGGACCGCAGTGTRTCTGGGGCTGACTATCCCACAGTGCAGTTCACTGTGCAGTCCCGGGGTACCTCGGCCCCCGGTTTGGGAACTGCAGTCTTAGTGCTTTTCTCTTTGCCCCATAAATGGTTCCTCCATGGCAAATGTCCACTCTATTTAGAGGTTTGAAGATCTGACCTCAGGAAAAAAACATTTTTCTTCTTTTTTTCTCCCTCCCTCCCCACCATGCCCCCTTCCTCCCTCTGTCCTTCTGTCCTTCCGTCCCTCTGTCCTTCCATCCCTCCCACTGTTGCTTTCTTCATCTCCATGTCATCCGAAGCACCAATCTCGTGCCCATCAGTGCTCTTTTCTTGAAGGTTCCCCGTCGTCTCTCTGTAGGACCGGGGTGGACAGACAAACACTTTTCCCAGCACAGGCTGTGGACCAACACTGCCTTGTTTTGTCTCCATGGCAATCTGGAGCGATGGCCCTGTGACCTCCCCAGATGAGGGAACTGAGGCAGGCGGTGCAGGCCCTGCCCAGGGTCTCTGCCCGCAGGGTCTGTGTGACRGGGCTGTCCCTGAGGGGGCAGGAAGCAGCTCCTGAGCACGCCTTCTGCTCTTTCAGAAATGGCTGAGCGACACAACACCCGGCAGGTGCTGCAGCTGGCCCGGGACCTCGTGTACAAGGTGCAGACCCTGATTGAGAACAAGTAGGGGGGCGCCACCCGCACCCGTCTCCCGCCCTCCTTTCCTCCCCCGAGCCCGGCCTGGGCGCCCGCCCTGGAGTCTGCTCATGAACGTGGCTCCTGTGCCCAGAGAAAGGGCCCTGCTTTGGCCGTGGGCAGGTGGGTCCAGGTCAGTCCAGCCTTACGTTTTCCTGTTTGACCAAAGATTGACCAAGCCCAAGGCCTCCGACGCGGGTCTGGCTGCAGATGGACGGAGGAGGCCTCTTCCCTCTGCCCTGTCTGTCCCCCAACCCTTCCTCATCTGTCCAGAAGAGGTCTGGAGAGGTCTCTGGGGCTCCCACTGTGCCCTCAAAGCGGCCTTTGGAGACATCCAAGAACATGCTGGAAGGCTGGTCTAGGGGGGCCCCTCCCGCAGCGCTGTCTTGGAGGTCCGCGGGTTCCTGGTGGCGGGCTGCCCCACACATCTAGGATGCTGAGCGGCCTCCTCRGCTTCCACCCAGATGCCAGGAGCTCTGTCCCCACCTCATGCTTGTTGTGATAATCCCAAATGTCCAGAACATCCCTGGATGTCCCCTGCAGGGCAGAATTGTCCCCATTTGAGATGTCTCCGCTGCCTCCCTGTTTTGCCAAGCCATCCTCTGTCCTGAGGCCTCCCTCAAGAAAAAGGGCGCACGGGGTCCTCCCCAGGCTCCCCTGGACTCTGGGGCTGCTCTGCTGCATTAGCTTGTTTTCCCTCCTCGACATGACGCCAGGAGACACTTCTTTTCTTCTTTTCAAGAAAAGCATCTTCCTGCAAGTAGCTGGAGTCTGAGGACTTCTGTGGGCGCCAGGTCCAGGCTCTGCAGGGCCCTGTGCACCTCAAGGCCGGGCTCGGCCCCCTCCCAGTGCCTCTTCCTGGGGGAGACCTCACTGGGCCTGGTGCGCAGAGGCCTGCAGGGAGAGCCTCKTTCAGGGGGCCGACCTTTCCCTAAGCGCTTTGTTCACTCAGGACAAAGGAGGGAAATGAGAGGGATTGGCCAGGGCAGAGCTGGCTYCTGCTGTCCTTGGGGAGCACCTGGGCCATGGCTGGGTCCAGGAAGAGTCCTCTGAGCACCTGCCCATCAGGGGCACAGTCTACAGACGACGAGCTTCAGCACCTGCCCCTGCCCTCGGGCAGAGCACCTGGCCAGCTCTCCCATCAAAGAACAGACCTGGACAGGCCAGAGAGCAGGAGGCTGGGCGGAAGCTCCTCCCGCTAGACCTGCTGCCTCTAGGGTCACCAAGGGCCAGCTGCAGCTTGGGATGGGAGGAAGTGGGGAAGCGGATTTAAGATCTGAGAGGCTGCAACCAGGCGGGKAGAGTCTCTCCTGCCTCCCTTCCTCCTGCTGCATCTGTCCTCCGCCCTCCCCCGAGGGGACAGGATGGACAGAGGCCTGGCTGCTGCCTGAGGAGAGTCCCATGGAAGTCACCTTCGCCCCACCCTGCTAGGGGARGGGACATTCTGGTCCCCAGCTTCCCAAGACAGAGGGGCCTGTGGGACAGAAGTGTTCTCTGCCACTCAGCAGTTCTCTAGGGGGATGGTACTGAGCACAGCCCAGGCCCCAGGCCTCCCGAGTCCTATTTATTTTTGTATCAGAAAGTCTCAAAGTACAGCACAAGATCTCTCCTCTGCCTCCCCTGTGGCGTGCCGAGTGTCTGTGGTTGTGGTTTGGAGTGACTTTATATTTACACAGTTTACCTGCTCTCATTCAGACTTCGTTGGCTGTGTGTGTCTGTGTCCGTGTGTCCTGGAGCTGAACGTGAGAGACTCTGTCTGCGAGCTGCCCTCTTTCCCTTTCCCCAGTGTTGGCCACATGTCTTGTAAATGTTTACTGAAGAATTGTGTCTATATGTGGAGAGAAAATATATATGAGCAGAGAAACATAAGTCTGCATTATGTTTTCTTTTGTTTGGAGAACTTTTTTTTAATCCGATGGTTTCCATACTGTGCCCTTGCACCCTGCACACATGGGGAGCTGCTGGGTTTTCTCTGGAAAGGTCGATTCAGGTGAAGCACTTCTCGCCTTGTGTATCAGCTAGCAGTCCCCCCAGCAGTGCTGCGTAACAATACCTGAAACGTGGTGGTTCCGGGTAGCCTTTTATGTAGCTCTGGGTCTGTGGGTCCAACTAGGGAGGCCTTCTGATCTTGGCTGGACTTCTTCATGCGTCTGTGGTCAGCTGATGGCCAGAGAATCAAACACTGCTGACAGTTGGCTGGCTGGTGGCTCGGGCAGGGGGAGCTGAGCCACACGTCCTCCTCTAGCAGGGCAGCTAGGCTCTTCCGCAGGCCCTGATGGCAGGTTCCCAGAGGGCAAGCGGAAGGCCACCCCTGAGCTTCGCTGGCACAAAGTCATTTGTGCCACATTCTGGGCAGAGTTCAGATGCGAAGGTGGGGACGCAGACTCGGCTTCTCATGGGCGGCTTTGAAAAGCGACATTGGAAAGGAGCGTGGGCACCGGCAGGGACATGCCGTCAGCTCTCAGGGGGCCACTTCTGCAGATTCAGCCAACCTCGGACAGGAAGTTAAACATTGGCAAAAGGAAACCCAACCCTGGTCTGCTCTGAGCACATCAGGACCTTCCCAGTCCCCATTCCCTGAGCAGCCCGACACAGCACCCGTTCCCACAGCGTGAGRAGGGCGCACCCTGTGTTGTAAACCCGGTCTCAGGACTGAGGTGACATGTACTGTCACACGCAAGCTACCTGCCCATGCTGCCCACTTTACATGGAGACTTGAGCAGCCTGGGATTTGGGTGCCCACAGGGTCCTGGAATCAGTCGCCCTTGGGTACCGAGGCCCACATGGGTGAGCCATTAGACACAGGCCCTGTCCCCAAGTCACCACCTCSGTGTCCCCGCTGCTGAGTGGTTCCTCGCCCACCTCCAGTGACCCCACAGACCCTGACCCTGCCTTGCCCGGCATCCCTGATGCCCTCTCCTTGCAGCCGCCCTGCAGGCCCTGGTGTGTCTCCCTCACCACGGGCCTCAGACCTGGGCTTGATGTCACTTGCAGAAACAAAGCCTGACTCCTCCAAGGAGCACAGCAACACTCGGGGGGGTCAGTGCAGAATGCGAGACTCGCGAAAAAGCCGACAGAGCGGAGGAGTCTGGAGAAGCCCCGGTCCTAGGGTGCACCCCGGCCACGTCCTTGGAGATTTCCAGGAGTAGCAGATATGAAGCCACCTGGCAGTGGGTGGCACTGGCCAGCTCAGCCGGGGCTGTCCTGGCTGGAAGCTATTCTCCCTCCTGAGGTAGGGAGGATGAGAGGCCTCAGAAGGCAGGAGCCCTAAAGGTCTGCTGTCCTGTGGGGTCACCAGTCTCACCTCTGACTTCAGCCCTGGCTCAGCCTGTGTGGCTCTCCTCAGGGGTGACCCGTGAGGTGCTGGGCACTGTTCACAGACGCCTGGCCGTGGGAAACTGATGGTGGACTTTCTGGGTAAAAATAATTCCTCAGAACCAGGTGCAATGGCCCACGCCTGTCATCCCAGGGGCCCAGGAGGCTGAGGCAGGAGGATTGCAAGTTCAAAGCCAGCCTCAGCAACTTAGAGAGGCCCTAACAACTTAGTGAGACCCTGTCTCCATATAGAAATAAAAAGGGCTGGGGATGGGGCTCAGTGGTTGAGCACCCCTGGGTTCAATCCTTGTTACCAAAAAAAATTAAAAAAAAAAAAACCCTAAGGTATTATTTGCTTTGTAGACTTCCCTACACTTGGATTTGAACTTTGCCTAGATGTGGATGGTGAGGCACATGGCCATGACCCCACTGCGTGAGAGTGGTGTTGATTCCCTTGCTGGGGCGGTTCTGGGGACCTCCTCCCTTCTCTCTGCCCAGGGGAAGGGAGGCAAGGGGCTCAGGGCCGTAGGAGGAGGTGGCACAAACGCCCTTCCCTCTCACACGCACTCTCAGGTTTGGCCAGCGTTAGACCGATCAAGTCTTCTCCCTGTGTTTTGGTTTTGGTTCTAGTTTCTGTGGTGTTGGGACTAGGCCAGCACCCTACCACTGAGCCACGATCCCCACCCATCTTTTCAGATAGACTTTTGCTAAATTGCCCAGATTGGCCTCAAATTTGCCATCCTCCTGTCTCAGCCTCCCAAGTAGCTGGAATTACAGTGTGTGCCACCACGTCCAGCCTAACCATGTTTCATGACAGCATCTCCCAAGCTCGGTCCCTGCCATCCACCTAGATGATCTTGATTGTGTCTGTGGACCACCCATGTCCCCATATCCTAATGGCTTTCTTTAAATCAACATACTTTTTAAACTTGAAACATGCAAAACCAGGATGAGTTCCACAAAAGGAGGATARCTGTGACGTCCGATGATGTTATCAAAGCGCTCACTACTCCCTACCAGAGGTTTTGGGTGCAAAGCCTGTTAGTGAACATCTTGTCCCTGTAAGACACACCTAAGATAACCAACTTAAAAAGAGAAAAGTTTTACTTGGGCTCAATTTGGGTCATCAGGTCCATGATTGCCCTTCCACATCTGGCCCTGGGGGCAGCGCATCATGGCAGAAGCACATGGTGGAATAAAACTGCTCACCTCGAGGCTAGGAAGTGAAACAGGAAGAGCCTAGGGTCCTAAGGGTCCCCTGCAAGGACATTCATCCCAGTGTCTTAACTCCCTTCCACCAGGCCCCACCTCTTCAAGGTCCCACCACCTCCCAGTAGCTATCCCAGCTGGGGACCAAGCCCTGAGCACATGGACCTTCAGGAGACAGTTAAGATTCAGTTAAGAAAAGGTCATTTAAGGACTTGAGAGGTGTCGAGAACATGCCAGCCCCCAGCCGTCCTCCCTCTTTCAAAGACTTCAAGGAGAATCAACTGCAGCCCTCACCGCGTCTGCCCGCCTYTCGGAGAGTGAAGATCCAGCATCCCAGGCCTGCTCGGCAGCGGTGCAGTGGGTTCCCCTGCTCCTCCCGTCCACCCCGGGCTCCCAGATGGGTCTTGGCAAGATAAGAGGCTGCGGCTCCAGGAGGGGAGCGGTTCCAGGTGCGCCCCAGCCCCCTTGGGCTGTGCCATGCAGAAGCGCCATCAGGAGCGCTGAGGCCGCAGGTCCTGAGCAGCAGCTGCCTGTGGGTCTGGGCTGCGGTGTCCTTGTGGCTTTCAAGCCTCTGGGAACATGGAGAACTCCGTCCGGGACAGAGGCACAGCTGACCCACCTGCAAGTGCCAGCCGGCCAGCCACAGCAGGTCCACGCAGTCCCTGGAGTGGCCCCTGGGCGCTGGCATGTGCTGCGGGAGTCCTCTGCCCTCCCCCGGCCRCTCCTTTCTCCCCTTGTGGGCACCACGGCTCTGTAGTGCCATCCTCCTTGCCAAAAAAAAAAAAGGACACCTCTTGTTTTGCTGGAGAGAAAACAATCAAGAAGGATCCCTCTGCCTGTTGCCAAGTAAAACAGAGTAAATGGCTTTGCTTTAAGGGCTGGGGACTCGTTCCCTTTGACATTGCTGAAACAATTCACAGAGAAACAGTTAAGGACCTTGGGAGCCATTGTGAGGTGCACAGAGACGGGGTGCCCCACCCCAAGCTTGAGTGGGTGACCTGAGGAGTGAGGGGCTTCTACTTGGTGGCACCCCTTACGGCTTTTTTTTGGGGGGGGGGGTACCAGGGATTGAACTCAGGGGCCCTTGACCACTGAGCCCCATCCCAGCTGTATTTTGCATTTTATTTAGAGACAGGGTCTCACTGAGTGGCTTAGGGCCTCGCTGTGGCTGAGGCTGGCTTGGAAATCCATCCTCCTGCCTCAGCCTCCCCTGCCTGGGATGACAGGAGGGCATCACCGCGCCCAGCTGCTTGCTGCTATTTGTGCTGTGACGTGCCTGGGTTTGCACGGCAGGGCAATTGGCATCAAGTGATCGTAATGACATTGGAAATGTCCTGCTGGCCTCCCAGTCCCTTGGAACACTACTCTGTGGCTGCCTAGGTTTTTCTATTTATTCCATTTTTTTCAAAGCAGAAGTTATCGATCATCCTACTGTTCCTTCTGGAAGATAAACACGAGCTGCTTTTTCCTGTGATCTATCAATGCAAGCTGAGTGGGTGGGGGCAGAGGGAGCAAACCCAGGTGGTCTTTTACCTCCCCCAAAGTCTGTCGGATTTGGATTCAAATCCCAGCTCTGCCATTGATCAGCTGTGTGGCCTTGGGCAAATGACTTTACCTCTCTGAACAATTTTCAAATCTATGAAATGATCTTAATAAATAAAACCTCCGTTAAAGAGCAAGCTGGCCATGGGATGCCCAGCAGCCTTCCCCCACTCCAGTACCAGCAACCRCTCTAACTCTAGCTTTGTAAGTGAGGCTGCTGGCACACCCATCCCTACTGTGGGCACGGGACTCGGTGCTGACCAGTCAGATACTTCCCTGGGAYTGGGAAGGGAGGAAAGGAACTCTGGGTGCCAAAGTACTTTATTTACATTGAAGATCTTGAGTTAACTGTCATAACAACCCTTCATTTATTCAGAAGAATAAATAGGTCCAGAGAGGTAAAGTGGCTTGCCTGGGGTCACACAGCAAGGAAGCAGCCTAGGTGGGATCTGAACTTGAATATGGAGTGATTTCATCCAACTGTAGAGTAGACTCTTTCTGTTCTTCCTGGGAGATTTTTATTTGCTGACTTTTGGCACAAGGATAATTTTCTCGGTGTCACTGGAGAAGATGGCCCTCCCCTGGACCTTGGTCATGCAGGGCCACCGATGATGGGCAGGAGGCTGGCCAGGATTGTGTTGAGGATGGCAGTGACATAGCCCCACCCAGCTGGCACTTCCCACCACGGTGCATGGAGCGGGCTTCGCAGGCTGCTTTGGC